AGCGACTATTTCGAAGTACACCGGAGCGTCGGAAGAACCGGAATCTAGCGACATACAAGGCAAACATTGCAAACAGGCTATAAGACTACTGAAACAGAGAACAAAACCATTTTTAATGGATTCTACACATTTTTCTTGATTTACTGAGACTTGAATGTGCTTAAACGGAGCTCGGATGAATTAGATAAGAATTTTAGAAGATTCACTGTGTTTATTACTATAACAAAAGGTCCTTAAATCATTTATTGTGCAATAAATCCCAGGGTTGGCGTCAGCACGGGGGGAGGAGGCGCGGCGCCGACAAGCGGGGCCCACTGGTCAGCGGCTCAAGGGAGAGCGGTTCACCGTGGACCGGGACCACGCAGGTGGTCCACCGCCGGTCCACGGGACCGACGGCCCAGATCGCCCTCGGGCCGATCGGACGGGCGGCGATAGAGGCGGCCGCCGGGCTCGGCTCGGCATCAAAGCCGACCGGCCGGCCAGGGCTAGCGGCGGCGGCACGCGCGCGTCGCGTTGCCGGCGACGGCATCCGGCGGCGGAGGCGACGGCGCAAAAGCGACGCGAAAGCGGCGGCAGCGGACGGCGGCAACGACCGAAGGCGACGGCGAGCGCGAGCGGCAGCAACGCACGGGGAAATGGGGAAGAAAAGGAAAGGGGAGGGAGTCCTCACCGGAGGGGACGGCGGCGTCCGGCGACGAGGAACGACGGAGGGAGGTCGACACGCGGCGGACGGCGACCGGGACGACCTAAAGAGCGAAAAGAAAGAGGTTAGAGAGGAAGAGAGGGGCCATAGGAGACGGGAATGCCGGCCGAAAGCGGCGGACATGGCGACCCTCACCTACGCACGATGGGAATGGCGCTCCGGCGACGAACCTCGACGAAGGAGGGGTGGACGGGGTGGATCTCGGCCACGCGAACCCGACGGCGGCGACGGCGCGGTGCGGCGGCGAGCCTAGCGGCGGCTAACGGCGGCCGGAGTAGCGGAGACGGCGGCGGCGAGTGGTTGCACGGCGCGGGAGCGATGGGGAGCACGAGGGAGTTCGGCGAAATGGGGAAAAAGCGAGAGGGAGCGACGGAGAAGCTTAAATAGGGGAGGGGAGGGCCGGACGTGGCCGGGAGAGGCGGGGCTTCGCCGGCCAACGTGGGAAGTGGGGGAGGAGAGAGAGGCGGGATTCGAAAATCGAATCCCGGCCATCTCGGGCGCGGGCGCGGGCGCGAGAGAGAGGGGAGTGGGCGCGGGAGATGCGGCGCACGCGCGGACGTGGCTGACGTGGCCCGGAGAAGGCGGAAGCGTGGGCGCGGCGGCGGTTGCGGGCGCGGCGGCGCCGGCTGGAGGAAGGGGACGGGTCCGACAGGTGGGGCCCACCTGTCGGCGTCCCGGGGAGAGAGGGAGGGCGGCTTGGGCTGGCCCACGAGGAGGAGGGCGCGTGCGGCGGGGTTGGGGAAGGACCCGACAGGTGGGCCCCACCTGTCGGCGACCCCGGGAGAGGAGGAAGGCGGGGTGGCCTGGCTGGGCCTCGGCCTGCGGCCAGCCCAGCAGGGAGGAGGGGGAGGAAAGGAGAGAATGGGCCAGCGGCCCATTCGAAAAAAGGAGGGAAAAAGAAAAAGAAAAAGGAGAAAAGGATTTTCCCTGGAATTAAAATATTGCTTGCTCAATTTTAATTGGTTAAAATTATTTCTAGGGCTCTGAAAATTCCACTAAAAATCCTGTTAGAGAATTTCGTCATGTAGAACTCAAGAAAAATTCCACATGCCAATTCCGATTATTATTTGCATTGATTTAAAAGGGTTTACTCTTGCTTTGCACCGGTATTTTCTTAGGGTCATTTATAAATTAAATTTAGGCTTGGGAGGAGAACTTCGGGGTGTGACACCGGCCCAAGTGAGGCCTATGTGGGGTGCGCCCCAACCTGGTGGACAACGACCTTAGAGAACCCTTGGTCATCCATCCACCCCTATAAATAGCTAGGTACCCCTTCACGGTTTCTTGGGTTTTGTTTAGATGAAAATTTAGCCATTGTTACTTCCTTGCAGCGTGCGTGTCGGCTAGACCGTCCGTCTATTTGTATTCGAAACCCCAACTTATCGTGTGTATTCATTCCTATTTGCAATTTAGATTGCTTTTATCTTGTTCTTGCTTGTTTCTTCGATTTGCTTGTAGGAATAAGGTTGATCCACACTGGCAAGATCAACAACCCACGGAGAGGTGTATCGATCGCAAAGGCGCAACACAACGTCTTGTACGGTTGTAGTCGGGTCGTCAACGTTTCTTCCAAATCGTAGTTATCATCAACTCACCGAAAGATCGGGCCAAACAACTGTCTTGAGTGTCAAAAGGAACTCAGGGTTCATCACAGCCTGTCCCATTCCATGTCATGTGGTCGACACGATCACTACATCGCTTGCATGACACTCCCTTCGCTTCATATTATACTTCCTTTATTCTAGGTTCATAATACTATATAGCTATATTTTTGGACGGGGATGAAAATGTTTTTATTTTTTTTCTTAAAGTCAAACTTCTTCAAGTTTAACTAAGGTAATAGAAAAAAAATAGCAACATTTTAAAGTCAAAATAATAGATTTTCAAAATATATTTAATATTGGATTTAATGAAACTAATTTGGTAGAGATACTAGTGGACACGCAGCGCACGAACGAAGACCACCATTGGACTCGGAGTTCAGAGTCGGAGGCGATCAAAGAGGCCATTCCCTACAATGAGCGGGGCAGGTGCACTCCACCGTGCACATACATACATACATACATACATACATACATATATATGTATAATGTATGTATGTATGTATGTATGTATGTATGTATGTGCACGGTGGAGTGCACCTGCCCCGCTCATTGTAGGGAATGGCCTCTTTGATATATATATGTATATATATATATGAGGACTCAGCCCCCAACAGCTTTTACCTCTGTCGTCACCTCCTACCTGCTAGATCTATATATTTGGCTTCCTTGATCATCGGCAGGAAGATCTAGTAGGTAGGAGGTGACGATAGAGGTCAACCCTGTCTCTCAACACGTGGTGCTGCCGCTGCGCCGTCACACGTGGTGCTGCCGCTGCGCCGTCGTGGTGGAGATGACCGGTGCCGAGCACTGCACAACTCCAGCGGCAGTGGTCCTCTCCTCGAACTCCCCATCCCTTCTTCCCCCATCTTAATTCCTAACGTGTTGTACAGGTGTGGTGCACCTTTCTTTCCTTATACTGAGTTAGGAATAAGTTCATCTGAGGTCCCTTAATTTTACACCGAATTCAATTTTCGTCCTTGAACCCCAAAACCAGATACAACTGGTTCCCGAATTATTAAAACCGATGCAAACGAGGTCCCTCGGCGGTTTTGAAAGCGGATTTGGCTGACGTGGCGCCTATGTGGCTGGTTTGACTAGGTCTCTGTCCCACGTGGCATTGACGTGGCAATGGCATGGCAATTATATCTGAAAAAATAATAAAAATCGTGGGCCCACATGTCAGCCACACAAAAAAAAAATTTAAAAATGGTGGGACCCACATGCCAGGTAAAAAATATGGTGGGGCCCCCACATGTCATCTCCTCTAAGCCACCTGCAGCACCAAGCAAAAAACGCCTCCGCGCTGCATGGGCGCCGCCTCCGCGCACAGCCGAATCTGCTGCAGCTGCTTCCGCCTCACTCACGGCCGGCGCCCGGCAGAGCGTGGCCAAGCCGCTGGGTACCCGCGCCGCCACGCTGACCTCCCCTTCCACCGAGGCCGCTGCCGCCGCGCCGCGTGGGGCGCCGCCTCCTCGCGTGGCTGCCTCTTGGACGCCGACCCCCGCGGCCTCCTCACGCCCGCCGCCGCCGCCGCCGCATCGGCCGTCGTCGTCGCGCCATCCTTCCAGGGCCGGCTCGCCATCAGCGCCACCATCCCCCACCGCCGCCTCAGCCTTCGCCAGCCATACCGCCGCCACAGCCGCCGCCTCGCTGGGTCGAGCGTCGGTCGCGTGGCCGTCTCCTCCGCGCCGTGGTTCGCCCAGTCCCGCGGCGACGTCCTCAACCTCGTCGCCTTCTCCAACTCCATGGAGATAGAAGGGACAGCCGGCCGAGGCGGCGCGCCATGGGAGGGCGAGAGGAGGCGGCGTCGTCGTATGAGGCGGCATGGCTTGGGGCGAAGGCCGGTGGAGGTGGAGGACGGCGGCCGCACAAGAGGACATGTGGGGAGAGGGAGATGACTTGTGGCGCCGGATGTAGGTGACGACGTCGGTGTCGGAGTGGCCGTCAAACATGGCGAAGAGGTCGACCTTGTTGCCGTCCTCTAGGCGGCGAAACTCGGCGGCGACCTACTCCTCTCCCTCCTCCTCCTCCGGCCACCTCCGCCGCCCGCGCCCTGCCGCCGCCGCCGCTCCGCCCGCGCCCTCCGCTCCTCGTGGGCCCCCTCGCTCGCGGCCTGCCGCAGCCGCCGCTCCGCCGATGCTTCGGTCGCCACCATCGTCGTTGGCATGTTGCGGCATGATGAGGAAGGAGAGGGAGAGCCGAATGGGAAGAGGGAGATGACACGTGGGGCCCACCATATTTATTTTTTAGCTGATATGTGGGCCCCACCATTTTAAAATTATTTTTTATGTTGCTGACATGTGGGCCCACGATTTTAATTATTTTTCCGAGATATAATTGCCACATCAATGCCACGTGGGACGGAGACCTAGTCGAACCAGCTACGTAGGCGCCACGTTAGCCAAAACCGTCTTCAAAACCACCGAGGGACCTCGTTTGTACCGGTTTTGATAGTTCGGGGACCGGTTGTATCTGGTTTTGGGGTTAAAGGACGAAAATTGGATTTGGTGTAAAATTAAGGGACCTCAGATGAACTTATTCCACTGAGTTATGGTTGTGGGTCTTCTAGTGATGCTCGCTATTTGGTTCTGGGGCTTCCTATCTCGCGCCCGCGCGCCAGGAGGCCAAGTCGCGCACATGGGCCCGGCCCACTCTCCACTAGCGCTCTCTCTTCTCTTTCCTTCGGTTTTTTCTCTCTCTCTATCTCTTCCCAATTTCCCATCGCTATTTCCAGTCCGAGGGAGAGGAGCGGCGACGACAGGCGGCTCCCCTCCAGCGCTGGCTCCGGCGAGCCCGCTCCTCCTTCCTCCAAAGAGTCCTCCCTCCTCCCTCCGGTAACAGGTTCCCCCCCCCCGTGCCGCCGCCCCGGCATCACCGGCGCCGAAAGGCATCAACGTGCCGGCGCGGCCCCGGCCGGCCGGCCTCCTCCCCTTTGCCTCGCTTTGCTCCCGCTACGATCACCGGCCGCCCGCCCTTGTCCGCCACCCACCGCCGGTCCGCCGCCTCCTAGGTCCTCTCTCCAAACCCGATCCCCCACTTCCCCCTCCCCAGCGCCACCTTCCCCCACCCCACCCCACGCCGTCGCTGTTCCTCCCCTCCCGGGCTCTTCCGCTCACCTCTCCATCGCCTCGGTCTCGCAGCTTCCGCCTCAGTCTCCCCGACTTCCCGTTGTCCGTCGCCAACCGAGGTGCCGAGCCACTGCCGTCATTTGCCCTCCCGTCTGCTCAATCCACGGAGCGGCAGAGGGTCGAGGAACCGCCGCGACAAGGCACCACGGCCACCGCAAGGCAGACGCCGAGGCGCCATCGGCCGCTGGCACCGGGATCCCATGACCCCTGACCAGCCAGCTTAATTAATTTTGTGCTCTCGAAAACTCGGTAATCTTCTTTCGCTACTCCAAAAATTTTGATTCAGGAATTAGTAAGAGTGATTCAATTCTAGAGATATATGCACTCTTTCAGAGTCACTGCTGCATTAGGATTGCCACATCAATCAAAAATGTATTCTGCAAATATTGTTTACTGCTGTGTTGGGATCTGGCTTTGCGTTTCCAATTTTAATTTCAGTGGTACAAGAACTAATTGTCTGCAAATACATTTCTTGCGCATCATACATGACAGGTGAGCTCTAATTTTAATGCCATACAACATTGCTTTCATTTGAATTAAAATAGTAATCGGAGCAATGCACCCTTTCACAATTAAGTTCTATCAATGCAAAATTTGATAATCATGTTTCTTTTTGAGAAAAAAATTATAATCATGTTGAATTTTTTTTGAGGGCTTTGGTATAGGTTGTTTCTATTTCTATCTAAAATCATAGTGATAAAATTAGCATGTGTGGTATCCAACGCAGATTTATCAACATGTATATGGGATTTATGGTGTTCGAAAAATTTTGGTATGTAATATGAACTTGTGATTTGTGAAGTAGGACTACTAAACGAAAAATTCCTAGCTACGCCACTGCCTCCTGCCCATTGCCAGAGGCGCGGCGGCGGCGGCGGCGGCGGGGGCGGCGAAGAGTCCCGTGAGCGCCTCCTAGATGGGGCTGCTCAGCATCATCCGGAAGATCAAGCGCAAGGAGAAGGAGATGCGCATCCTCATGGTGTAGGTGCCCCCCTCCACCCCCAGAGTTTCTTTTGCGATTCTGTGGGCAATCCTTCTCTCTCCATTCTGGATCTGGCGCTTGAGCGGTTCGTTCCTCTGTAGATTTCTTGATTTTTTGTGCCTGATGCTGTCTGGGGAATCTATGGGTTCACCCGCAGGGGGCTGGATAACTCGGGGAAGACGACGATCGTGCTCAAGATCAATGGGGAGGATACCGGCGTCATCAGCCCCACCCTCGGCTTCAACATCAAGACCATCAAGTACCACAAGTATGAGTCCCATCGGTCCTCTTCTGTCGCTCTTACTGCTGCATTATTATGATGTAAACTTGCTTTCGGTAAGGTGATTTTTTCATGTGAAATGATGGGCATAACCATTAAATGGATACGAGGTGACACATTTCATCGTTGATATAATTTAGTTGCATCTTCTATATGCTGAATTTGACATGTCTTCATTTTCAAGTTAGATGAAATTTCACCTGATATGATCCAGTGAGCACCCACCTGACAATGGTTTTTTTTTTTCTCAAAGGGAATCATGTGATGTTGGAGTGTTCCTATTTTTTTTTCCATCAAAATGGTGTACAGATCCTATTTAGGACCATCAAAATGGTGTACAGATCCTATTTAGGACAAAACCTTGCAGCAAGGGAGAAATTCGATAATTCATCTATACCACGTAATTTTAAAGCTTGTTAAATCGTGAAATAAAAAGGCATAGGCTAGTGGTCTGATAGATCAGTTTTGCCAGTTGCTTCATTCGAAATGTGAATCTTATGTGTTCTTTTGTAATATATCGCATGACCATTCACATTAATTGGGGAAGAATATACAAAAGATTACATGTAGGGAGCTAGGGACCTCACCACAGAAAAAACTTAACTCAGGTGCTAGAGCTAAATTAGAGTGAGTTCACGGTTTTTGGTTAAGTACCTGATTTTTTTTCCCCTCAGGCTTGCATTTCTTCAATCTGAAGTGCCCCTGTTTTAGTGCATTCCGATGATGTTAGTCACATTGTTGTCAACAAACAACACAAAGGTAGATACAAAAGTCTCATGTTCAAGGCAGCCACTCACTGATCATTGCATCAGCCAAAACACTAGGCATAGCAATTCCATTTGTATTACTTCAGGGTGGAAATTAATGAATAATGTTTGTTTTGTCATTGTGGCAGGTACTCATTGAACATATGGGATATCGGTGGACAGAAGACTATCCGATCTTACTGGAGGAATTACTTTGAGCAAACTGATGGACTAGTTTGGGTGGTTGATAGTTCAGACATTAGGAGGCTTGATGATTGCCGTGCTGAACTCCACAATCTCTTGAAAGAAGAGGTACTATTTCTAGGCCACCAAATGACAGGATCTAATTATGTCCTTCATTGATTGCAGCTGATTGTTGTCGCAAGGATGTTTTCTAATAAGTACAGAAAACGAATTAGTATGGCATATAGATGTCCCTTTTCTTTAGTTTTAGGAGCGGTCTATGTTTATATCAGAAAGCAGTTTGGTTCTCTCCAATTGGACACTGAACTCAAAGCATTTGAGCAAAATTTATGTTGCTCAGCTTCTACATTGGTTTCAGACCTCTCTTTTTCAACTTATTCTCATTAGCTTTGTATTTTACTAAGTGGTTACCAATATAACACTAAGTGGATGTGCAATGTGTACCTTGACCGTTATGCTCACAGCTGAAATGCATCACTGAATAAACATCCATTTGGCATTTGGCCTCACAATTTCACCCTTTTCAAACTGCACTATCATTGAAAAATGCTTTATACTTTTATTTGTCAGAGACTAGCAGGAGCTTCATTGCTGGTGTTTGCAAATAAGCAAGATATTCAAGGCGCTCTCAAACCTTCTGAAATTGCTAAGGTAAGCAGATTTTATTCATCCTTTATAATAAGATCTATCATTCATTCTTTATCTTACAGGTTTTTTCTGCAACATAAGCTTAGACAAATATAGTTGTTTCTGGTATATTGATTTTTCAATATTAGTTGACAGTCACATGGTTTGTAATTCTTGCCCTAAGAAAATTGTTGTACAGTTAGCAAAAGATACTTAATTTTGACACTAAAGTTCATTTGGGATCCTCAGTAATACCTTCCATTGTTTTTAAGGCGTCGCCATAGCGTCGCGAAGGCGCATGGCGCTCTGCTGGCTCCAGGGCGTCCTGACGACATACCAGCCAGTGTATGGCGACCCCAATCTCATGCCAGGAGAGAATAGGGGGATTATGGCGACCCCAATCCCATGCCAGGAGAGAAGAGGGGGTTATGGTGACCCAAAACATCACCAAAAGAAAGAAAGAGAGAGGGAGAGAGGATTCCATCTTATCTGGAACCCTAGCAGCAGCGACGACGTCTCAGTATCCACGACTCCCATAACCATCAGCTCTGGATGCGGCAGATCTGTTTCCCTCACCTCCCTGCTGCCATCCTCACTGCTCCATTCACCTCTTCCTTCCTCTGCTCGGCTTGGCTCCTGTTTCCTTCCTCTTTTCTTCGCTTGGTTTTCTCATGTGGCGGCGGCTGTGGACATCTGATGCACGATGCTTTTAGGGTATAGATGTTTAACCTAATAGGTTATTGGGCTTTGTGGGCCGGTATGAGGGTTGGTTTGATGGGCTGTTTTGCCATTTTTTATATTTTCCATACCAGATTATTCCCTATTTCTCCTCTGATCGCTAGCAGAGTTATTCTTAGGGCGTCGCCACGCCATACCGCTATACCGCAATAGCGTTGAGGCGGGTGTGCAGTGCCTTAGCTCGCCATACCGCCTTAATAACCATGATACCTTCACATATGTATGCCTTAACTCTGCCATTTTCTGGGTTATTGTAGCTGTCCATTAATGATCCTTCTTCATTTCTGTTATCTAAGAATTCAGAGCCTATAAAACTAAAATAAGAGCCCATGAAATTCTAGTGCATTCAAATTCTTATAGCATAATCCATCGTGAAATGACTGAACTGAGGAATAGTGTTGCTGGTGAGCAAAATATCATAAACCTGTGTAACACTTTCCTTCCACTTCTGTATGACGTTGGTTACTTCAAAAATGAACTATGAAACATCATATATAAATGATATGTAGCATACATTTCTTGATTACTGTTATTCTTAAGTTGATCAAGTCACAATACGGAATATATGAATCATAGGTTTTCAAAATTTACAATGACTGTTATTCTTTATGACTTGAAAGTCATAGATTTTCAAAATTTACTTGAACTAAATTAGATGATACTAGAAGGGGTTTGTAATATCATGTCTGCTCCATCATTCGTTACCCTTTCAGCTTCATTTGTTTTATATGAGTGGTAAAAATTTTATATGAGCATCTCAATTTGTAATCTTACAGTATTGCTCTGGTAGCAAGTGATCAGCAAAACCACTGCCTGTGCATCTCGCTGCTGATACGATGTTCTGAAAGTTGAAAGTATAGCTTTTGTCAGGGTTGAACGCTGACTCTTCTATCTGGAAATGAATGTGTTGGTGTGGTAACATGCTCCTGTACTGTGTAGTACGCACTTTAGTGTTAGTGTGGCCAAACATTTTCAGATGTAGATAAAAGCCTCTGCACTGTTCTAAGAGCCAGCCGACTACCATGAACAGTTTTGACCACTGGGCGCTAGGCAAGACTAAGTCCCAACTCATGATCTACGACGATTTAGAACTTTGATTAGTCTGTATTCCATAGCTCGAAAGTATAAAAACTGAGTGGATATATAAAGGATTGAATTGGCTTGGAAATACTCACCGTATGGGATCTTGGAAACATTGGAAACTCTGAAAACCGTATACTGTATACCACTAGTTGTAACTCATACTAGCAGTATACCACTAGTTGTAACTCATACTAGCAGAGGATTTTTGGCTTGAAGTTGTGGCTTTCTCCAAGGCTGATCTACAACTTGGGTTCGCTGTTTTCAGGTACTCAATTTGGAAGCGATGGACGGAAGCCGGCACTGGCAGATCGTAGGCTGCAGCGCGCACACCGGGGAGGGCCTTCTTCAAGGTTTCGATTGGCTCGTCCAAGACATTGCATCTCGGATCTACGTGCTAGAATGATGTGAACCTCGTTTCTCTGTAGTATTTATGTGCTGGAACGATTGAACCTCATTTCTTATCAACCTCTTCGTCTTGTTCTGTAACGGTGAACTATTGGCATCATGATTTTTGAGCATGATGGTTCTGTTTTGTGCACCATGACCATCTGAAAAGTTTCATTCCTTATCGAACTGTTGATTCGTGCGTTTGCGTTGTGAAGAGAGCGAACCATTGCAGTAATGTTGTGGCAAAGGGAAAATATCAAAAAGATAAAACTAGATGGGAACCCGTGCTTCGCCGCGGGTGGCGAGAGACAATAGAACTGAAATATTGTCTTCAAGGAATAACAGAAATGAAATTTAATTGCACTAGTAATTAGCCCGTGCTAACACTACGACAATATTTTAAAGTGCAAATTAAACAATCAAAAGCATTAAATGAGGTAGGTTTAATATTTTTAAAAACAACGATAGAGCAAGTTACTATATTATTAATTACATAACCAGGTAAGTAAAATAACACCGTGACTTCTCAATCTTTGGAAACAATCTTATTCCTAAATCCTAATGTACAACTTCATAATCTGCTAAATTCAGGTTTACAATATATAAACCATAAAAGATAGCTATTGCTATACACTTGCCACCACACATAATGTTCCTTCTATTGCAAAAGCACAACAATCTCTCTCTCTCTCTCTCACACACACACACACACACATTTTTCCTCTCTCCAAATCAACAAATACATATATCTATCTCCCCTACGGAGGCACTGGCCATGTTCAACAATCAAGCCAGCACTTGTGTTGGCACCCTTTCTCGCCGCCAAAAGCCATCGTTTGTCCGATGCTAATATCATGTGATTTGATTGTACACTAAAGAAATACAAAAGGTTCTCCAATTAGTCGAAAGGTAAGAATTTTCAGCTTCGGAGAATCAAATGAGAAGTTGCAACCTCAGAATTCAAGCAATAACAGTTCAGCAGAATACTACAATGTTTATGAGTAACTGAACCCGTACAATACAACAGCATATATCGATAAATCATGTACTCCCTCCATCCAAAAGTCTAAGACATACTCCTATTTCTTTATGCACCAAGACCAATGAGCAATTAATTCATTCACTATATGATAAAATCAATGAACATGCAACCAATAAGGGCAGTCCCAACCCATAGTGTCCATAAGTAGTGTCTATAGTGCCATGTCAATAAAACATCTCAATAGAAACTACACTCCACAACCCATGATTTCTTAAAGTGGGCCATTAATAAATACATCATCTCTCTTCTCTACCAATTATATTTATTCTTCATCTATTATGAAGACACTATTCTCTCCCAATGCAAAACTTGATAGTGTCTAGTGCATAGGTTCTCGTGTTGAAGCTGTGTCTTGCATGAGACCCAGTTTCTTCCTCTTTTCACTCTATCTCTTAATTAATATAGTGTCACATAAGCTAAAAGTCCTACATGGCAATGTAGTTAATACCATAGACACCATCCTAGGTGGAGGGTTGGGACTGCCCTAAGTACTACAATGACTACTTGGGTTCCAATAAACAATTTAATTTAGTACATGGTGACTACAAATAGGATTTAGACTTTTGGAAAAATTAAAGAATGAAATAGGTCTTTGACTTTTGGAATGAGGGAGTATCTATTAACACTCTGAATTTAACCTGTTTCTTTTTTAGTAAATTCAACTGATAAATAAATAGCTCTGTAAGTACTTCATGAAGGAAATCTGATGGCATCCCCCTTATCTAGAAAAAAAACATGTTAATTTCTTAAATCATGTACTACAAGCATTTTTAGGAACAGATAGTTGCATACAAAAATGTTGAACATGATACATAGAGGAGAAACAATTTATGAACAATTATTACTTGATGCCTACCTCAAATTAGAATTGTGAACTTGGAAAGAACTTATTTGGAAGTCAAAACTATCTAATCATTATGCAATCCTATGACACGCTTTCATATTTAACTTTCATATTGCTGCCGATTTTTTTATTTTTTATTTTTATAATTCAAAGATTCAAAAAGTACTGTGTTTGACATGTAATTAGGGTAAAAAAGATACTATCCAGAAGTTATCGTGGTAATATGAGTTACTAATGCAAATATTGTGCTGACATAGAGCTAAAAATGGAGTAAATAAATTACTATTAATTACTGTTGCATATGAAACGAACTGAACCACACGTTTGCTTGACATTTATGGTAATTCTTTTACTCTAGATCAAAGGGAAGAAACAATTTTCTACTCGTGATAAGCTGGTAATTCTTTTACTTATTGAAATGAGAAGGTGGTTTTTTTTTTTTACCCATAGGTGGGAGGTACAAAGAAGGGAATTTTGTAATTGTGAGAGAGTGATAATAACTCTTCTACTCGTGGATATTTGGTGGTAAATTTTTAACCCGTATGTGGGAGGTGCATCGAAGGTGACAAAAAGGGAAAATTTAAAAGTAGGTTCGATGAAACAGAAAATGGGAGGGGGAAGGGGGGGGGGAAAGAAAGAGAGCGAGATGTGATTGAGAGGAGAAAAAACAAGAAAACCGGAGGGACAGATGAGGCGCGTCACGGCCCTAGTAGCTCCCAACGCGCTAATTAGCGCCACCGTTTGTTATAGATATTTACTAACTTTTTATACAATTTGGCCAGTCTTAAAATTTGTATGATTTGATACGTATGAAACAGAAGGTAACTTTCTAAGTATTACCACTGATTTTATTGTCCTGCCGTCTCATGTGTTGACCCGGGTTTGATATTGTGAAGGGTGTCTGCAGTAGTTAGGTGTCATACTGTCTTATACTCGTCTGTTCGGATGTTCCTAGTTCAAAACTCTAAATTTACCACTAGTAAAATGGTCGTCCTGTAGTGTATCTTGACTGCAGTTATTCCAATGCTGAGACCAATAGCACTAACATGTTCTCCACATAACATGACATGATTGCTGGCAAAATTGCATGTAAACTGGCTGACCATCCACAATCAAATTTTGCATGAAAGCTAGGAAGATTAATCGCAGATAGCATTGGTCTTTGGCGTACAAGAAGAAAGACAGACAAAGTTTCAATAGTTACAACCCCTGCCACTGATTATTTTTCTACAGACAGGGTAACACCAAACTATACTTTGCAGACATATTGTACAACTTTGCTCTGCCCAAACACCTAGTGGGGGATCTTCGAGACACTTGCTGTGTCAACATAAGAATGATTTTACAGCCATTGAGGAGGCACTGGGAGGTATCTGCCTCCTCAAGGACAGTAAAAGAATCTCATCAATATAAGCTGTTGCTTATTTGATTGTCCACTGATAAACTTAGAGTTGGACTTGCGAGCTATGCAAGACTGTAAGCAATAGGCAGAGTACAGAGTTCATACACCCTTAGAACCTGGGATGTCGACCCACTGAAGCTGGAGCTCAATTTCCCCGCATTCCACATCCCTTAGTCTGAGAACCACGTCTTGCTTCACCTTCCCCTCAGAGATATATATCGTGCTCTCTTCAGCTAGGCAGTTCTGTCTATTGGGTACCACTTTCTTCACAACCGTGTTGTCAGCAACACCCTCAATCTTCATCTTGACAACCTCCACCAATGGGCGGATGTCCAGCTCCGCATTGCCCATTGCATCATCGATGAATGTGTCTTTGTCATACACTTCCTGTTCAGGACCAAAATATAACTATATATCAGAACCACTCTTTGGTCAAAGAATTATTTATCAAATCATATTATTTGGGCCTATTTGGTTCACTATCCTACCAATTCTTTGGTAGCACCAAAATCTAGACAAGTTTTGGCACTACCAATAATTTGGTAGGGTAAGTTTATATTGGCCAAGTTTGGTTTGCTACCAAACGTAGAGCTAAATTGTGATACTATAGTGGAGAATATTCTAGATTGCTACCAAATTTAGTATAGATATTATCAAATAGTTGGCTTCAAATTAAATGAATTATTATAGATACTAATATTCTCCTATTCAAGCTACCAAAATATTGGTAGGGCACATTTCAGTAGCAATCCAAAACAGTCCTTAGAGAGGACGGCGTTAGCCTGACCATGGTATTGGTAAAGCCACTTAGCGGCCTCTGACCAGCCACTATATCTCCAACAGATCAGAATATTCTTTAGTATCTACTTGTTCTGGTAAATATTAATGAGCCTTGTACTACTCTGATGGAGTGCTAATTAGTCTTTATTCAGAAAATTAATATTCTAAATTCAGCCATGGAGGCAGGTAGGAGTATACTCAACTCAAGAAGATATATATAAATAAATGTTTGCTATATTTCAATTCACCAACAAGAAAACATCAGATTTAGTCCCTTGCTTAACAGTTACTCAAGCAAATAAGAAGTAAGAATATTACTTAGACAAGATTTGGTGCTTGTATGCAGAACAGATAATTTAGTCCGATTAGAATGGCGTCTGATAGAGAGCTAGCTATAAAAATTACAACTCCTCCTACTTGGTTTTAGCATTTGAAGTGATGTGGCCGTCTAGTTGATTACGCTTGCCAATCAGTATAACAATCCAACTGACAATCCACTTTAAATACCAAAATGTTTATTATCCATTGTTTCCCGAGAAATGGCATAGTAAGAAAATACTCGTGAAGTTTTCATTTTTATTTGTTTGTGTAGCACAACAAGAAAGAAAAGGGCGAAGTGAAAAGGAAAGGGGATATATACCAGTCTAACAGGAACTGCTGGATCTTCAATCGAGAGGGTGAGTTCATCGTTCCACTCCGGATTGGTAGTCTTTTTTATGACTCGTGTCTTCAACTTCTGCGAAATGTTAGCAAATATCATCATAGTTAGCAGGCGAACAATAAAAAAAAACAAGCAGCAAAAGGTACACAATACATGAACAATTAACCAGGGTAGAAAGAAAAATGGCGAGAGAGAGAGAGAGAGAGATTGAAATTCAACAAGATCCCTTTTTGTTCACCTCTTTCCAGCCAAAAAGAATAAAAAAAATGAAATTCACAAATCAGACATCGCCTGAACACGATAAACCTCTGGACCAAAATAAAATAACACAACACAGCGGTGAAAAGGGGAAGAAGAAGAAAGAGCGGGTGCAAGTCCCGACCTGCTTGCCCATGCGGACGATGACGTAGGGGTCGCTGGAGCGGAGGTCGCGGACGGCGAGGTTGACGCCCCTCACCACCCGCACCTTCACCAGCCCAACCAGATGCCCCAACATGGCGGTGGCGGCTTTCCCTCTTCCTCTCCCTCTCGCTCTCGCTCTCGCTGGATGATGGATCTCCAGAAAGAATCTGTGAATCGGAGATGGATATGCTTGATGGCCCTCCTCCTCCTCCTCCTCGTGCTCCTCTATATAAAAGCACCCTCTAATCCAATCCAACTGCCCCCTTGCTGCTCGTCTCTGGTCAAGTCAGCAACAGCGACCGCCCGGCCGGCCAACGGCGGCAGCGGAACGGAGCGGAGCGCGTCAGCTGTTTCCCCCGCGTTGGCCTCCCCCTGTTACCACTGCCCCAAGTAGATTAGATTAGCGCTTGAGAAAGTGGACTCGTTACTCCTTATCGCCTCTCCGTTCGGTCCTCTTCCTGTTATATAGTAGTAGTATAGTCGAGTAGGTCTGCACAGTCCACTCCACTACAATCCAAACCCGGCCTTGTGCGACTTGGCCTTGCTTACGCGCTACCGGTACAAGGTTTGTTTGATCGGGTCGCCGTCCGCTTGTTTTGGACGGGAGAAGCAACCGGGCGGGAGGGCGGCGGTGCTGACTGGATCCCGCACGCTCCCCTCCTATGTTCCCTATTTCTCCCGTCACAGCACAGGGACATAGGGTTGTTTTGGTTTGAAACCCTACCAAAATTTTGGTAATGTCAAATATTGGATAAATTTTGGAATTTTGATTGGGTTATGTTGTTTCTAACTCTATTGAATTGGTAAGATTTGGCCTCAATCCAAATAGCTAACAAGCACTATTCAAAACTACTAAATAATTGGTAGGGCAAAAATTGGCTTTAATCCAAACATGCCCATAGTACACCCCAGTTTGGCAAGTAGAAACGGCCTACTGATAGCGGAGCCATTCGCGGCCGTAGTTTCCTCCTCGTGGTCGTGAGAGGGATGCGCGTCGTCGGGTGCTGCAGATTTTCGAAGAAAGCGAGCCCCGTCGTCGTCTCGTCTGACGCCGTGACGCGCCTTTCCTTTTGTTGCGTCGGCCTACATAACATTCCAGATGACTTTTGCGGTTGGATTTTGGAACCCTTGCGGATGGTAGAGTGGGCCCATGTGTCACGGAGACATTCATCTTTGATTTCGTTTTCGTAGCACCGAAGGAAAAGAAGAAAAAAGAGTTGGTAGTCTCTAGATGATCGAAAATTGTCTCAACATCGGACATCATCATCAGCGTCCACACTAATAATTAACACAGTGCTACTCCAATGACACAAGCACATGGGGATACCTTCCCTTCCGTTGGGCAGAGCTCCTTTTCCCAAGTGTTTGTTAACAATGTTAAGCAAAAATACTAAGCAATGACGTTAGAGTAGACTGACCATGCCGAGTCTTTAGACTATTCACTACTATTGTACTGTACTAATAATAACTAAATAATTTGAGTAAAAATACTAAAGCAATGACGTTGAGTAGGTAGACCGAGCTTGCCGAGTCTATGCCGTTGTGTAGTGTACTAAATAATCTGAGTATTGTTTAGCAGGCTTAAACGTGTGCATTAAAGTGTGATAGCTCCCGCACGCACTCCCTAATAAGACCTCAGATCTTTCGATGATATTCTACATTGCGGAGAAGATCCATGCGCGTCATAGTGTGTATCTATGGTTACGAATTTTTAAGCTGTTCTAGAGGATTTTAACAATCACGGAACTTTATACTATGATATTTGGGGTAATTGCATCCATGCCCTCACTTTGAACCTCAACTGCTGTTTTACTCCTACTTTTTAGGATTTGTATTTTTGCCCTATCTTTTTTAACACGAACCCACCGTTTGCCCTCACTTTTAACCCCGTTAGATGGATCCCACGGTTTTGGGTTAAAAATATACAAAGAGAAATAGAAATATCTTTTTATGAAATATTAATTTACTGTTGTACCCTTCAGTGAATGGATAAGGATCCAAGCAAGCAAGCAAGCACAGCTCTGCTCAGGTCAAGCACCGATTCAGTGCAGCGGCGTGCACGGCTAAGGCTGGCAGTGGCGTGTGTGGGCTGATGCAGCCGCTGGGTAGGCTCACACCACTTACCCACTTACCCACTTAGGCCAAACCACTTAGGAGTAAGTGGGCTAATGCGGTAAGCCCACCACGTCCAGCGGCGCCGCCACAGCCCACATCGAGGAGCATCAGAAAGAGGAGGAACGAGGAGTGAAAGAGGATTGGAACAAGTTCGTCGTTGTTGCGGCTTGAACCCTAGCTGCTACCGCCATGGATTCGATGCCGCCTCCTCCACCGCCTCCTCCTCCGCCGCCTCCGCCGCCGCCTTCGCCACCGCCTCCACCGCCGTTCCCAGTGATCTCACAGACCTCCGCCAGCACTGCCGCTTCCAATGCGCCCTTCAAGGGACCTTCGTGGTCATCGCCGGTCATGGTGGTGCATTCATCGTTGCTCGTCGCACCCACTCCGCCCGTTCTGTCATTTTCTGTGGGTGGTGCTATACTAGCTTCTGCTTCAATCCCGTCGACATCTACACAGGTGAGTTCTTGAATTCTTTCCCTTGATGTGGATGCAGTGAAAAGGAGATGTAGATGTAGTGAATTTGAGTAGGTTGAATCCAGTAGCAAGGATGTAATTTTCAGATTCAAACCATATTTAATTTTGTAAGGATGTACGCATCACTTCACCTAAAAAAAAGAAGATTATCTAGTTCCTGCTTGTCTGTGATTAGTTGCTTTCGTGACATAACAATGTGCAGTTTTGATGGCTTGCCTTTACATAACATGCTTGATGGTCACCTGGGATGTAAATATGTGATATGCCTGCTTCTTTTTCCTCTAAAGTTAGTGATTAAACAACAATTTACATGTAACAACACACATGAAAACAAGTTAAAAAAATAATTTGCTTACAGTAAGTCCCCAATTCTGACAAGCCTTATGGTTAGCTCCAATGGTCAGTCGATGCCTTAGATTTTAAGTTAAGTTTAGCCTGAACACACAAGATTAGCCTTGGATAGCTAAGTTTCAGCACTAAAATCATTATCTGTTTTGTTCATGAGTTTCAGAGCCCCCTAGATTTTAAGCTATGTCAATTATATAATGCAGTCGCTTGGCTATCAAATTCCTTTTATGTCAGAAGACAGTTTAAGAATCAAACAAAGTGTAGCATTGCACCGACTAAGGACAATTTCAGAAGACAGTTTCAGGTTGCCAACCCATGTTTACCTTTTCATTTTTCCTTTTTACTGCTGTAGGTGACTCGAGAGGGAGGGGTACTGGCTTCAAATACCTCGAGGGCCAAAGCAAATCGTAATGCCCCAACATCGAAACAACTAAAGCATTCAACAACAAAGCGGTCAAAACCAACTATGGTAACAATGGTGAGGTCTCCGGGGATTCGTATTATGATGTCACCCATGCTAAGGTCCCCAATACCACGTGCATTGTCCCCACCTCCAACACACGAGAGGTCACCATCTTCTTCCCCTGAGGAAGCAACTACACTTCAACATCGTAAGTATTTTTTTCCAATAAAACCTTCAATTGTCAGAAAAAAAAATAGATTTTCAATTTTACTGCTATTTATTTAGGCAATTGATGCATTTACTGTACATTGAATATTATGTTTGATATTTTCATAAATCATAATATATGATTGATTTAAATAATTAGGTTCATCTAGAAGCAAATCAAAACGCAAATTAAGGTCAACTGTTTGGAAAGACTTTGATCCGATATATGAAGGAGAGGTGCTTACAGGAGCTCAATGTGTTCATTGTGGCAAAATATTAAAGGCTACACGAGATGTAGGGACTAGTAGTTGTCATAGACATTTACTAAAATATAAGGGCAAAGCTAGAATGGATCAAATGTATTCTCAACTGATGGGTGTATCATCTGATACATCATGTGCTGACGCCCTCACAAATTGGACATTTGATCAGCATGTGTCTCGGAGAAAGCTTTTGGAGTTAATAGTTGCTCACGAGCTACCCTTTAGCTTTGTGGAATACTCTAAGTTTAGAACTTTTGTGGCTAGTTTAAATCCATGTTTCAACCATATTTCAAGGAATACCATAAAGGCTGATTGCATTAGTGAGTATCAAAATCAGAAGGTAGACTTACAAGTGGTTTTGAGTGGCTCGAATTCTAGGCTTTCTCTCACTGCCGACATGTGGACATCAAAGCAAAAATTGGGTTATTTATGCATCACGTGTCACTTCATAGATGATAAATGGAAATTGAAGAAAAGAATAATTAGGTTTGATCTGCTATTTCACTGAATTTAGATGTCAAATCAGCTTTGTTCCCTTTTTTGTTTCCCTTTTGGATGATTCAAGACTTGGAAGTAGTTGATACTTGATAATACATCATATCCATCCTTGTGTTGCCACTGATATTCAGTGTGGAGATGTGCATATGACTGTGTGCTTACATTTTGCTTAGACGGGAGCACACCTTTACTGACAGACAGATGGTGGTGTATTTCTTTCTTTGCGTTAAGTGGATTATATTTTCATGGAATTCGATGTTATGCAATTCTGTCAGTATATGCAGGGTTCCTGAGAAGTTCCTTAAGAAAGTCTGAACATTGAGGTCCTGTGCTGAATGTAGCCTCCAAATTGTCTGAATGTTGATTTATTTTATATTCTTTGCCAGCGTCAAAAAAATTATATTCTTTGCCATGAATTGCCCACATTTTTTTACCAAGTTTTGGTTATACCATTCTAAACTTCCTATGCATAACTCAATTATGCAGAAATTGCAGGTTGTTTTCTCTCTTTGGTGCCTGCAGATTCTTCTGATTCTTTATGGCTAGCAGGTTGCTTGCTAATTTCCTGGGATCCTGTTTTTTTTTTGCTGGCAGTACCAAATTTTCGTCTGAACTAGTGCATAGTGCAAGTAACATGCATCCTTTGTTCTTTCAAATATTCACGAAGTAGTGCTTCCTGATGAAAAACTCATATATAATCATGATTTGTCAATATGCAGAACCTGAAGATTTGCAAGCGTCAACACCATCAGGCATTGAAGTAGAGCAGCTGCAATGAACAGTCTTGTGTTATTGATACAATCGTTAGTTTGATCTTCATTAGGATATTCATAATGTCCTATTATTCCACTCACATTAATATTGTAAATTCAGTGAGCAATGCAACGGTTCTGTGACTTATGTCATTCTGTTTGCCATCTTCAAAATCTTGGAGGAAATTTCGTTGTTTGGGATTGAGTGCTTAGTCTGAATTCTTCTCAAACATTTCTTGTAATTGATGCCACTGTGGTTTACTACTACTTACAAACACTAGCACACAAATAGCAAGTTGATTATCTTATCATGCATGTTCTTTTAATGTGGGCAAAGTAGAACCAGCGGGCAGGCGGGCAAGGCCGCCAGAAGTTTGCGGGCTTGCACGCGGACTGCTCGGTGCCACTAACTTGTTGCGGGCATAGCGGCCGCGGGGCGGGCACGCCGCAGCCGCGCCACTGCCAGCCTTATGCACGGCGACAACGGCGGCTCCGGCGGGAGGCGCGGCGACGACAATGGCTCTGGCGGAAGGCGCGGCGACGACGACGGCGTGCGTGCGGGGGCGGCAGTCGTGGCGAGGGCGTGCAGGCGACGGCGGCGGCGGCAGTCGCGGTGAGGGCGTGCGGGCGACGGCGGCGGCCGCAGCGAGGGCGGGCGGGCGGCGAGAGCTTGCACGCGGCGCGGCAACGGCTGCGGCGAGGGCGTGCGCGTGGGGGCGGCAGCCGTGGCGAAGGCGTGCGGGCGACGGCGGCGGCGGCAACCGCGGCGAAGGCGTGCGGGCGATGGCGGCGGCCGCTGCGAGGGCGGGCGCTGGCGACGGCGGCGGGCGCCTCACTGGCTACTGCTGCTGCTCCCGTGGCCGCTGGTTTCCACGCTGAGGCGTTGTGTCCGCCTCCGCCTCCCCCCACCGTCGTCGCTGCTACTGCTCCCGTGGCCGACGACGATCCCATCCTGCTCGACGTCGACGTCAGCGCCAACGTCGCCCTCCTCCTCGTCCCTTGCTCCAGGTCCTCCCCTACGCGATGTTGTTGGATGTTGATGGTATAAATGTCCTTTTGTTGTACAACTAACACCGTTACACCTTTTGTTAGAAGTAGGGGTAGCCGGCTGATTCAGATTCAAAAAGTGAGGGTAAAACTGCAAACCCTAAAAAGTGAGGGTAAAACAACAATTGGGTTTAAAAGTGGAGGCACATATGCAATTGCCCCATGATATTTTTAAGTCTAGGCACCGAGTGGCGAGTACCGACTCGATAATCTTTCTAGCAAAATCGATGTAATGGAATCAAACTCAACATATAAACACCAACGTTCATGGGAGTGAAACGGTCTCATCTTTTCGCTTATGCTTATACTTATCAGGCAAAATTTGAATTTTCAATCTTAAATTTGGAGTTGATTTTGGTTTTTTTTCATCATAGTTTATTTTTCAGCATTTGCTTCTAGATCGTTAAGAACACGTCACTACTACATAAAAGACAATAGGTGCCCCGGTTGGGAACCCCACAAAGATACTGGTTTTCCCAACATACACCTAGAAAGCGGTATTGATGTGAAAATCAAATAGGTGTCGATTTCTATGTCGGTTTAAAACCGGCACAAGTTTCATGAATCAAAATAAATCTTGCTGGATGCATCGACTCGAATGCATCCAACAATCCAACAATCCAATCCAAGAACACAGAGAACACTAAGCCACTAGTCACATACCGATTACTTCTTGGAATTGAATCCACAACACTTTGCCCCCCCAAAATCAACCACAATCATCATCACAAAATCACAAAAGGAATCATAGAATCACAACAACATGTAAAAACATCACATAACTTCCAAGAACTTCACTCTCACCGCCGTCGGAACCGCCCTGGCAACCACCATTGCTGCCGACGCCGCCACCACTGCTGGATCCACCAGCGGCCGCCGGATCTGCTGCGGGAGGGAGGCGAGAGGGAGAGGAGGAGGGGGCGGAGGGAGAGATGGAGGGGGAAAGCGAGGCGAGAGGGGGCGGAGGGAGCCGCCGCCGGTGAGAGGGGCGGAGGGAGAGGAGTGGCAGGGGAGAGCGAGAGAAATGTGGATGGGGGTGGATAAGGATGGAGTATAGGGGTGTCATGCTTGGCTTGGCTCGGTTTTTTGGTGTTGGTTTTCTACAGACCGACACCAATAATATATTATAGGTGTTGGTTCTTTTAAAAAACCGGTATTTATAGTATAGGTGACAGTTTTTCTTTAGAACTGACGCCTGTAATTCTTGAAAGGTGCCGATTCTTTATTTTTTTCCACCGCACAAAGGTGGGAACATGTCTATATGTACCAGTTTTAATTGCTGTGGCACCTATAATACCAACCTCTATTTTTCTCTACTAGTGCGTATATAAAAGTTTTATTCACAAATTATTTTTTATTTACAAATACGTCGTTTGGCTTGGCTGAAAAAGTTTAGGGTGGCGTGAATGTACACTGTCATTTTGGCATGGAGTGGGGGATATTAGTTTGGGGAGGCTTCATTCAGCCTATTATATAGGAGAGAATCCCTTATATGCAACTCCAAATTAACCGGTTTCCTTATATGCCACTTCAAATTGTTCAAATTGGCTCCTCCCTTCTATGCCACCTGTTTAAGTTTGTCCTCCCTTTTATGCCATTGTCGTTACTCCACCGTCAGTTGACCGTTAACTTTGTAGTAAAAAGATGCATTTGCCCTTGAGAGTTGGTATACAACCAATGATAGGTATTTTAGTACTAATATATCTACTGGATATAATCTATGAAAATTGATTTTTTTTTTCAATCACGTGCAATTTTAGCCATCACCATCACAAATAAATTTTCAATATAAGTATGAAACATACAGCTTTCCAACAATATTTTTAATAAAAAGAGCATTTTCCATTGGTTCTGACAAAATTTTGTTCACTCAAAAAAGATTTAAAATAAATTAGTTATGATTTTTTTGAAGTTTACACATTTTTTAATTGAGAGGGCATATTGGTCATTTATGAAAAAAACTAGTTAACAAACACTATAGTGTTGGGAGTGGTTTAAAAGGGTGGAAAAACTTAAATTTTGAGTGGTATATAAGAGAACTGATCAATTTCGAGTGGCATATAAGGGATTCTCTCCATATAGACTATAGACATTGACACTTAGGCAGCGTTCGTTCCAGTGAGTTTGTGGGAGAAAGCACATCGTTTTTCGCGTGCACGCTTCCCAAACTACTAAACGGTGCGTTTTTTGCAAAAATTTTCTATAGGAAAGTTCTTTTAAAAAATCACATTAATCCATTTTTGAAATTTAAAATAGTTAATAATCAATTAATAATGAGCTAATGGCTCACCTCGTTTTGCGTATCTTCCCAATCTCCTCAATCCCTTCCTCCTCAAACACACCCTTGATCACTCTATCGCATATGCATACTAAATACTTGTCAAGCTGCCCCAAAAACAATGACATTTATTGTGTTATACTGTTAAGCATCATCATTATTCATATGTAGCAAGTTAAACAAAACTATCATTATTTAGTCAATACTAATAGACTAAATGAGCCAACAAACCAAACAAGCTCCTTGCAAGCCAACTCAAACTACAAAGTAGGCTCGTGCTTGGGTCATTGGGCATGCGAGCCAAGTTGAGCCCAAGCTAAATTTCCAGCTAGCCCTACTTAGGCCCTGTTTAATTAGATGGGACTAAAACTGTTAAGTCCATATCACATCGGATGTTTGAATACTAATTATAAATATTAAACGTAGACTATTAATAAAACCCATCCATAATTTTGGACTAATTCGCGAGACGAATCTATTGAACCTAATTAATCCATGATTAGCCTATGTGATGCTATAGTAAACATGCGCTAATTATGGATTAATTAGGCTTAAAAAATTTATCACACGAATTAGCTCTCGTTTATGTAATTAGTTTTATAAATAGTCTATGTTTAATACTCCAAATTTATCCGATATGAAAGGGACTAAAGTTTAGTCCCTGATCTAAACACCACCTTACAATGATGAATGCTTATTGAAAGAACACATACTTTTTTTTAAGACTAAACACCGAGGCTAAAACCTCGGCATAGATTAGTTTATTGATGACACAACTATAAATACAAACCGTTTTATAGAAAGACCCCTAACAGATGGCCAAATAACCTTAGACTCCTGAAATTTGCAAAGAAGGAATTGAAAAGAAATAGAAAAGGCAATCAGGTACTTCGATGCTTCTCCACCTGAACGAGGACAACTATGGCGATAGTGACGGTGATTCCAAGACCACAAGCAGATGCAGAAGGACGCTATGAAGCAAACCCAAATGGGGCCTCGATAGTTGGAAGTTGAGATTTCTTTGACGATGCTTTGATTTCTCAACCGCTCTCTAAAGATCCACCTCCGATGACAAAGGAGGTCAACGTTCTTGTGGATGTATTGCTGGAGAAGAAGACGATAGCCGGCACAACCCGCTACAAGAAGAACCTGCTGCTCTTCCAGTTGATGACATCTTCGACAAACTCAGAGCTTCAGCCATAGAAGACCAGAATCCATGGCTTGGCACCAAGACAAGAGGATGCAATGCTAGCAACCTCTTGCACTACACGAACAAACAAACGAACAAAGAAAGAAAGGGATAAACCCTACTATGGAATACACCCGACTACCTAGACCTAGGGTAGCAATGGGTTGTGGCCCACCCTAAACCCCACCCCTGCCCATTTATGTTTATACTTCCTCTGCTCCCAATTGATCATCATATTATAGGAGTGCACCAAGACCACAGAAAGTTCATTAATAAATCTTTCATGCTACATTTACTCCAGTAACAAACTTAACCATACACCATTCCCACTATTTGCTAGCCAACAATAAACCAAAGACATTCATGTTGGTTGTAAAAAGTTATGTGCACCAATTTACATTTACTCCAATGCACAAAAAGGAATATACTTAGGGAATGGATACTAATACGATGAGAATTTACGAATAACCTCAAATAAGTTATACGATGATCAGTTGGGAATGGAGGGAGTATTTTGGAACGGAGAAAGTATCTAAGTTGGTTACAGCTAGGTAACCACTGGAATAATTATATTTAAAATTTAAATACAAATTATTACTTGAGTTATATCCTTCCACTAGATTGCGGCATCTAGCTTAAAAATTCCCATCTTGTGGAGTGTCATTTCGATAAATGCCAGTGTATATTCATTAAACCCAAGAAGAAAAAAAAAAGGTGATTATGTTACATTCCATATCTCATGGCCATGCCATACCTACTATATATGCAAACAGAACCATGTGAAAAATCTAGGCTTGTGTTCCATAAGCAAAGGCGAAAAGAGCAAGCACAATTATGCTTATGACGAAGATGGCAATGGATTTCCATGGACTGGCCTGTCGCCTAACAAGAACCACAGCCTTTTGACCTTTCTTAGCAGCATTGTCGACCTGCACACTTGGGCAGGTTAAATAGCCGAAAAGTAGTCCACAAATTGTTGCCCCAAGATGTGTCCTACAGTTTAACAGACATTAGTTTGAGGGTATATATATATATCCTTGATAAAAGCAGCAATATGCTAAAGGTAAAATATTCTATAAAGTTTATTGCTCTGCTTTATTTATGCAGTAAAAGTAATATTTTATAATTTCTTGTCATTGACTTTAGCATTGCTGAAACTTGAGATTAATCAGGATTTCGCTGATTTTTTTATGCCCTGTCCAATGGCAAATATAAGTTTCCACAGAATCCATGCCTATATTTTTTTATGCCTATGGGCCTGTTTGGGGGAGCTTCTAGCTGCTGCAGCTTCTCCCAGAATCAGAAGCTCCCCCAAACAATCCAGCTTTTGATACAGATTCTGAGAAGCTGTAATTGTAGAATCCAGAAAATGAACTAGAAGCCAGAAGCTGGGAAACCAGTTTTTCCAGATTCTGAGAAGCTGGCTACTAACGTTTAGATGTTTGACTATGATTATGCAAAAAAAATGAAATTGGTATAATTCACTATGAATAAATTCTTGAAAATTTTCTTTGTGATGTGCAGGAGCACATAGAGATCAGTTGTCATGGTGGTTGCTTGAAGATGTAATCCTTATAGCACAATTTGGAATCTGACGGACAGAATGATAAAAAAAATGTTTCTTTCATACATTTTTCATACATAACCTTAGCTTATAAGTGCATTTGCTTGAACAAAAATATTCCATAATTCAACCCAACCACCTACTTATTACTTGTTTGTACATATGGCAATAACAAACACGATACAACTAAAATCATGAGTCAGTGCTTGCCATGGATAATTTAACAAATTCATACAATAGCATTTTAATTATGGTGGTTGGATTTCTTGTCAGCTTTTTATTCCCCAGCCATATCTACCAGTACAGGTTTGGTTAGAATTATTCTTAAAGTTTCTTAAAAAAATCATGATTGTTACAGAAAATAAATAGCAAAGATGCTGAAATTAATAAAATATCCTTAAACTTCCAAAAAAAATGACAGTAGAAAGGGCGCATATTAGCAAAAGTTTATATTACGTAGTTGAGTTTGTACAGAAGTCATTAGAGATATGCTTATGGTGCATCCTTTTCTAGTAAAAAAAATAATCAGTTTACCAGTTGTCGATTCTCCCGAAACTGCTCAATAAGGCCAGTCACAATGGGGGTTTCACTGGTGTGTCATGCACATTTAATAGGGGTAAGACTGAATAAAAAATGATTATTTGCATGAAATGGGGATGAGAGAGAAGGAAAGAGTTTCATCCTGGTGAAACTCGTCAGCGTCGTTTCCAAGTCCTCGGTAACAGAGTGAAACCCCCGTTGAGGCCGATTCGTTTCATTCACCGGATCTCTTGCGTCCGCCTCCGCCGTGCGACCTCCGCATTCTCCCGCGCCGCGCCGGATTTTGGGTACAAATGATCCCAGCAACTTGTATCAATTAAATGCTTTGCTTAGTCTTGGAAACGTCAAAGTGAAACCCCTCCACTGTGGGGATTGTTTCATAAAAGATTTCATTTGAGAGAAGATGGTATAATATTTTGGGTAGCCGTGCAATGACACTAGCCATTGTGACTGGCCTAAGAAGCTTAAAGTTGTTGCCACAACAGCCTGGCTGAACATAGTTTCTGAAACGTTCTTATCAATAGCATCCTTGTTTTGGCTTTGATAGACAAGCCATGCTCCAATTAAAGCAAATACTGGTCCCTGTTCTGAGTTTTAGGAAGCAGCATTAATGTACACACCATTATATACAAACATGCCGTCTAGAATGACTTTTCTCTAACAAGACAAATTTGAAATACCATAATAAGATGGATCCATTTCATTATGATGGATCTGCAATACATAAGCTATATATACTCTTCTCTGAAGGTTGCAAGATGGTCACTACATTTGCAATTCAAATTCCTTTCATATAGAATTTATTAGCATTTACATTCATATATTCTAGTTTGCCATGTAGTTCGTGACAGTCTCATAATGAAACCAATTTTGATGGCAGCCACAGCTATATGTATATATGATCATTTCTTCTTAGCTATCAATTACATAACCAAATCTGAGATGCAAATCCCAATAAAGCGTGCTTATTTCTTAAAGACGAAATTGAGATTGAAATAATGATAATTCCAATTAATATTACAGGTCACCAAGTCACTTACTGTGCCACAGACGGTTAGCTCAGACGTGTGAAGATAGCTTGTCAAGTTCCCGCAAACTCCCCCAAGTATGTACATCAGCAAAAATGTCGTTTGACCATATGCTCTAGACACGCGAGGTCCAAAGATAAGTAATACCCAACATCCAAGTGCTATGTGCAAGAACCCAGAGTGCTGCAAAACTCAAATCACAAGAATAAGTCAGAAGAGAAAAATACTTACTTGAACATACATGTGTCTACTTTACAACCCAAAACTAGCAGAGTCGTCTAAATACACCATTCGACATAAAACCACCATTTTTTTCACTAAGGTGGCAGTGTTTTTTACACTCAAATCCAGTTGGCCCGTCATGTTTTTATAATTTTTTTCATGCGATTAAGCATCTAGCTTAATCCACGACCATTGTAGTTTTGAGCGGTTTTGGTTACAAAGTAGAAGATTTTGTATTTCAAGGTTACCTTAACATACAAAAAATGTAGTGAGGGTCCTAAAAATTGCAGTATTGTCTCATTTTCCTCTCTGAACCTACATTTTACTATCTGATGTCTCTCAACTCCCTGAACACCTATTATAAGGGCAATCTGAGCATGAGATTATACTCCCTCCATCCCTAAATATTTGACGTTGTTGACTTTTTTAAACATGTTTGACCGTTCATCTTATTCAAAAACTTTTGTGAAATATGTAAAACTATATGTTTACCTAAAAGTATATTTAACAATGAATCAAATGATAGGAAAAGAATTAATAATTACTTAAATTTTTTAAATAAGACGAACAGTCAAACATGTTTAAAAAGTCAATGGCGTCAAATATTTAGGGACGGAGTACTTTTCAGGGCATATTTGGCAAATGAGTTTAAGATATGATATATTTATACCCTCACCATCCAAAAAGCAAGTTTTAATCTTAGCCATCCATTTTCTCACCATTTCATCCTAATCCTCCATTCATTTATATTTCCCAATCCTTTACCTAATCCACTATCCACATGTCACCTCAATAACTACAGATTTGCATCCAATAATCATCAAACATGTTCTTCTTGCTATTAATCCTTTTAGCAAATCTATGTGTACTCTTTGGGATACTGCGATCCCCTGTGCTCTTGTCTTGTCTGTAATCCTCCACGTAATCCCTCTAATTATATATCTCACAGGGCTCTTGCGCATTGCACACGAAGCTTGCCTTGTATAAGCAAATCTGAAATGCATATTCTGCTTAAAACAATATTGTTGGAATGTTAACAGCTTCTCTCTTCCAAAACTAATAGATAGGAACAAAAAGAGAGGAAAATTTCTATGTTAAGGACAAATAAGCCTGAAATTCTATAATCTAGCATAAAAATAGCAGTCTTACCAAACACATTGGTGTTAGTAGTCTCCACCATTCCCCCGATAGTATTAGGTCATTTATCTTGGCTCCATACATCAAAGGGAGAGAGAGATTTTCAATATCAGAATTTCTCACCGGACTTGCTATTTCGAACAACAAAACTGCAATATTGATCGCAGCTAGTAAATTTCTGCATTCATATACAAGTTCAAAGGGTCAAGAGACCAAAATATGCCAACAAAGGAATTAGTTATAACAACATAGCTATGGAAAAAATATAAGTGATTACTCTTGTCTCGTCCATTTTGCCCACACCCTATCCTTCCTTTCATCTACCACTACCACCAAGCACAGAACAACTCAAGCACTTCCACACATAAATGTTAGTTGTATGGGATATGTTTGGATGTAGAGGCCGGGTTTTAATCCGTTATCTAGAAAAATATTATGATCCAAGTTACACAAAACTACAGAGATTTTCGCATGTGGCACATAACCCTGCGCACTAAAGTAAAAAAGTTTCACAAAATCACATTTTGTATCCAGAAAAGAAAGAGAATTGCATGCTTGCATGCAGCTCAAGGAAATTTGTATCTTTCATCAGAAGACTATGAGTAGTCTTGCAATCCCAACTTGCACCCTTTGTTTCACCAAAAAAAAAAAATTGCATATGTTAGTGTATCTTGGCAGAAAACTACACTCCCTATGTCGTAACATAAATCCATTCCTAGCATCCTAAGAAAAAGTTAGTATATCTCAAGCAGAAAAAAAATGAAAAAGTTATTACTAGGAAAAAAGGGGATTGAAGTCTCCCTTATTAACACAAAAGTAGAGTTTATTCGGCCAGATCTGCATATGACGCTCTCTTTCAAGGGGCTATTTATTTTGGCCCTTGGGAACACATCTAAAAATCTTGATTCCCTGGAAAATGTCATTTATTCATGTAGTTAGTGGCACACAATTGGTGTTGGACAGCGGACCACCAAGCACATCGACGCCTCTCGCATCCTAGTAAATGCCCTCTTTGTGAGCAAGAGGATAAGACCAATTTTCTTGTTTCTTGTGTATTTATTTGCTAGACAGGTTTGGTTTCCCTCTTTGAGCAAGTGGTGCTTGGGGTTCTTACGTCGTAACCCTCATATGTGAATTTTGATAAATATTGGACCGGAATCAATGGTTTGGTTGACAGCAATATCAGGAAGGAAGGGCTTGAATAGCTTGGTGATTCTTGGAACTGGACTATAGTGTCTTCAAGAGTGTCTCCTAGACTATCAACCTCTTTGGTACTAGCAAGAGAGGAAGCCCGTCTATGGAATTTGGCTCTCCTTATTTTGGATCACGGCTAGGTTTCTTGTCTTTTGTTTTTTTGGTCGTGTAATCGTTCTGGTGATAGCTTGTGGGGTTTTTCTTTTCGTGGTGCAAGTGAGTTTTTTACTTGTTGTTTTGTCATGTTTTTTAACACCTTCTCCTTCTATTAACGAAATGATACACAACTCTCTTGCGTAGTAGTATTGGGAAAAAAATATGTGAGTGGTATTAGTAACTTGGGTAGTAAAAGGGTATTGAAAGGATAAAACTTCTTGATTTGTGAACCAAATGTATGTACAATGATAGAAATCAACTTATTTTGGAACGGTGGGAGGACGCAAAATATTGTGTATATAGTGCAATTTGTGTTGAGAACAAAATATTAAAATTAAACCACAAAAGATCGATTCGGTTGATCTCGAATTGGGTTGTTTGCGGGGCTAAGTTCCCTATTTCAATGGACGTATATATCCGGTTGGATGTAGAGGCCGGGTAAAAATACCCTTCTCTAAAAAAACAAGATCGTTTCGGTACTTACGTCAAACAGAAACTGGATGTTTGATCATCTTGCTGCATGTCCAGGAAGTTCTTCTCATCAAATATCAAATAATTTGTGTAGTCCTCCACGGCAGTATTTAGATAACCCTTTGTACCTAAATCAGCATTACTGTTTTCATGAAGTTTCTTATGTTCCCGAAGAAAAATTTCCGTGAAGTTTGTGATCGCTATGCTTCTGTTCTTAGTAAACTGAAGTTACCTTTTTTTCGTCTGTTGAAGTTGATCTCGAATGATTCCAGCGTATTCCTGAAATCGCCATAATCAGTAGCCATGTTTGCTTCTTCTATGTTTGTGGATAATGGGCCAGTTCTCTGCTTGTTCGTCTGATGAAAAGAATATGGCTTCTGGGCGTCCTCAGTGTTTAGTTTAGAAAAATAGCATCTCAGTGCCCCCAGATGGTTTACTTCCATTTTTCGCGACGCATTAGACAATGTCTCGTTGTCCTCATCAGAAATTCTGGAGCTGCAGCTTCCTTCATCGTCCTTATTGTGTACCTTCGCAGCCACATGTAGTCCAACCTTGCTTCTTAGTTTTGACTTCAATGGACGGCAAATGAAACCCTCTGCAGAGTCACCCAAATAGCCAATATGTTGGTAGCTGTGACACTTGTATCTATTAGGTGTCAGTGATAAGCATTCTCGTGCAATTTCGGCACTTCTCCTCCCACTTTGTTCACATGACATCATTTTCCATTTTATGACCCCAGCCATTAGATACCTGAAATGTTCAAGTGTTTGGAGTGTTAGTATACCAAGGGCACAACACCAACTCATTTGTTTGAGCTAACTAGCATCGTATCCGTGTGTTGCAACGGGTCCCAATTGAATATATGTGCTGTAAGTCCAAATTAAAGAACACAATAAATAACCAAGTATCTCAAATCTAAAACTTGTATGTACCAATTACCACCAGGGTATGTTCATATGGGAAGTCAGGGAAGATGCAATACTTTTCTATGAAAAGCTTTCAAATAATAGAGATGCCTATATATTTACAACCACACAAATATCTAGAGCAAGGATGAGTAGTAACATAACAGAAACTTGTTGCAACCTATGAATTTATTTATTGAAACCACGTTCAGTTGTGGGGTTGATAGTTAAAAAGAACTTTGTAGAGTCAATGGTCAAAAATTGATAATTGGATACATCAATGCACTGGTGCAGTTGAATATTCGATCGAGTTTAATGCGATAAAATACAGAAGTAGGATCGATAAACTACCCAGCGTATGCTCCTCAGAAGTCAGAACAAAGCAGAAACAAATCACATGCGCATGCCGCAACTAATTGATGAGAGAGAGAAGAAACCAGGAAGCAGCAATTAAGCACACAAGCCAGATCGATGCGCAATCGTCGTTCTCTGAAAAATCAAAGGTCGAATTCATGCACGGAACACTTACGTACCAGCCTGCATGGAACACTTACGTACCAGCCTGCAGCTTTACAGCAGAGGGCGCTAGCTGCTTTGTGCAACAGTCGTACGCACGCCTAGCTAGCAGCAGCAGAAGGCAGCGAAAGCTGGAGGAAGCAAGTGGTGTGGTGGCCATCCGGTGGTCCGGCCCCCTCCTCGCTCCTCAGCTGCTTTGTACATTGCGAACCGATGAAACTGTGGCTGCCGCAGCGGCAGCGCCTCGCTGTAGGAGAGCGACGGCGGCCGCGCGGCACGGACCCGCCTTATCGGCGGGCGGACCAATGGCGCGCCGCGCGCGGGCGCTCGTGGGGCCCGGCCTGTGCAAGGGAAAGCGGCAGTCGGAGGGAAAACCTCCGTCTCACGTCACCAGTGGACCAGTCTAGCGCGACTCCTGTGGGCTTTGGCTTAGCTTTGGGGTTCATGTCATGTGGACGACGATACAACGACTAGCTTTGCCCAATTGGCCGCGGCTTTGTCATGGGCTCATGGCGTAATCTGATGTAACACAATGTTGCCGTTTGCCTCTAGAATTTCTTTTTCACTTGATGGAAAAGAGAATGGAGGAAAATACCTGTGGTTGTCGGGATGTGGGGTTTGAGAGATCTTTATTTGGGACGGCTTGTGTGTCAGCCGTCCGATCAACATCCAACAGTGCACATGAAAAATGCTTTACTCAAAATAAAGAGCCTCATCGTTTGCCTTAAAAAATCCGCCGCTACCAAAATTTTAATTTTAAAACTTTAGAACTAATTTTAGGGTATCTCACCAACATTTGCTTTTAGAACGCTAAAGAAAATATATAAAAGTTTTTAACTATAAATTATTTGTTTTTAACTAATAAGTTGTTTTAGTACATAATCATATGTGGTCCACCGATGGGTCTTAAAAGAAAATATGTTTCCATAGAAGTAGAAAATAGAAGCTCATATATGTGGCACTATCAAAAAAACATCGTATATTAAACAGATACCACTTGCAGCCCGATGTCCCTCTGCTCTAGGGCAACATGAGCGGTGACTCGAAGTAGCCCCGCCTCCGCCTCGCTGCCGCCCGAGCAGCCGTCGGCAAAGCCGTATGGCAGCAAGGACGACAGGGCCTTTCTACCCCCTCCAACACCCACCGACAAAGCCGGATGGCAGCAAGGACGGCGGGGCCTTTCTACCACCTCCAATACCTGGCGGCTGGGGCGTTGACGGGGAACGAGCGGAAGTATGGCGACGGCCTTTGTGTACTTCAAGTACTTTAATAAGTTCTAGTTGCTGAGATTAGGAAGGCTTACAGTGAGGACTTCCACATATGATAATTAGAGCAAGTTTAATAGTATAGCCAACTACTAGCTCCAGGTCATCTATAGTCAACTTAATAACCAATTCATATAATATTTACCTATAAACATATACTGCATAATTAAAATCTTGTCTCACCTGTCATACACATATGCACCTTGAAGTCCATGATGCAGCTGGCTACAAATCTGTAGCCAACTGCCCTTCTCTCTCCTCTTTTATCTCGTTGAAATGTGTTTATAGCTGGCTTATAGTCTGCTATTGTATCTGCTCTTATACCTGTTGCAACACCCAAGGATGTAATTATCATTGGCCTCCGAGGTAAACTACATTTTATCTTAGTTGCCTCACGGGCTGGTTTGCTTTGTGACCTAAATAGACCTTACCAATTTTTGTCAATGTTAAATTTTGGTAAATTTTGGCATAGCTAATCTTGGCAAGGTAAAGTTGTGTTTGGATTGAAGCCAAAACAACATAATTTCACTATTGAAATGGCCTATTTCTTTAGGCATGCTAAAATTTGGCTTCAAATCAAAATATATACTAAATACTGTTAAAATTGCCAAATATTGGCAAGGCCAATTTAGGTCAAAAACCAAACTAGCCCCACATTCTGCTTGGTAGAAACCGTTAGGACCATTCAAGAGAATAGGCTCCCCGAGATTCTCAGCAACATGGGAGGTGTAGCAATCAAGAAATGGGATGCAAAATATTGCAAATTTCTTCATGCTGACTAATAGAAGACATGGAAAGTGAAACTGTCAGCCTCCTTAGCAGTGGAAACTATTAAGCGATGGAATAATTTTACAAGGGTAATTCATACATGCAAAAATTGGCAACAACTTGATACAAAACCAAATTAAAGAACAAAGATTCATTAGAATAATTCATAATCAAAGTTTTGTAAGCAATGTAAATGAAATCATCATTATCTCTTGTTTGAGAACTACATAAATATGTGCTAGCCACACAAGTAGCAATTTAATAATCACAACTAGTTAGGTACCGTTGTTGATGACAACCCCCTATAAAGAAAAAAGGAATTTAGCTAATACATGCCTGGGATAAGATGTCACTGATACCAAACTCTCCCAAAGTCATTTAACTCTACATCTCAAGCTTGTGTGCATCGGATTATATATATCCAAAGGTCATAGTATATAATTCCCTTCGATGAAATCGATATTTAAATGGACCCATACTGTGTGCTCATTGAGCATTATTAGTCTTGTTCAGGTTATACGGTATCACATTCTGTGACGCAAGTGCTGTTATCAAGTCATGCAAGTGCAAGTTGGCCAGGGAACAGACTGGACTAATTGGCAGCAGAAGCAGTGGAGTAAGACCAGCAAAGTAGCAACGATCCATCACTAGGGAGCAAATTGGCCTTGGTTGGGAGGCCTGGTCTACCAGGCCCATTATTACTGAGTATAAGGGAGATGAGCTGACTAGCAGTAGAAGCAACTGGTATATGTACTAATACTGTAATAGTCTGATAGACCAGTTAACTCAGCAACTCGTCTCCCAAGTTGATAGAGGGGAAACTCTCAACTTTATGACTTAACAACGATGGATGCAAGCACGCACACACCCTCCAAGTCATGCCTGTCGAAGCGCGACAATTGAAAGTAGCACAATCTGTAATGTAAGTAAGGCACATACCCTTTTATACGCACCGGTTGTGCTCAGTTCCTGTGTCACTGGAAACGGCAAAAGCCTACAATAACTAAACTGAATAAGTTCAAATTACTAGTAAAGATTATATGAAGACAGATTTTTTTCTCTTTTTGAGGAAAAGTTGCAGGAGCTCTACCTTTCACTGAAAGGACAAAAGCAATATTAATTCAATTGTTAATACCAACTTTCAGGTCTTGTTTGGATGGGGCTCAATACTGGCCCATCCATGAGTATGCGCCAGGATTTTGAACTAAAATCCCGGGCCCATACACATGGATAGGTCAGGAACTCAGGATTTCAGCCTATCCAAACAAGGTCTCAAGTGAGAGATAGCTTCTCCACAAAAAAAAAAAAAAAAAAAAAAAGAAGAAATAAAAGAAGCAGACATAAGGTAGTGGAACTGACACTTGCTCCCTCCTTCCCAAAATATAAGCATTTTTGGTTTTGTCCTAAGTCAGACTATCCTAAGTTTCACGAAGTTTATAGAAAAACAATAATAACATGACAAAATATGACATAAAATGAGTATCATTAGATCCATTATAAATTATATTTTCATAGTTTACTTATTTGACATGGTAGTTATTAATAGTCTTCTCTATAAAATTGGTCAAACCATCTAAGTTAGGATAGTTTGACTTAGGACAACTAGAAATGCTTATATTTTGGGACAAAGGGAATACCTTATTGTTCAAGAGAGCTTTTTGCATTGCACACTTACCTTGTATCTCCAAGAACTCTGTTATGGCCTGTTTTAGAGGCATACGAAACAACCCCTGAAAAGGGTCTGCGCAAATAACATTGTGTGGTTATGCCAAACCATGAAAGAGACATAGTAGCAATAGGACTCAAGAAATAGATGTTGCAGTAATAACTTCTCCTCAACAAAAAGAATGTAAAACTCTACCAAAGTGCCCACATATCCAGCAAAGTGATATTGAACATTTTTCTCACCAAAGTTTTGAGAATAGCTCATTTTCATAGGCTCAGAGCTTGAATACACAAGTGGGAAAGGAAATAGAAAGGAAAAGCAACTGGTTAACAAAATATCCCACTCGGCAACAGCTAGAAATTGGCTACCAGGTCAACCTGAAGAATCTTTGCCAAATATATGCTCAATATAAAAAAGGTAAACTTGTGGCTGCAGATATGCTTATCAATTATCATTTATGTAACAACCATGTTGTACCACGTACATGCATAAATACTGCCCAGCAAAATGCAGTAAAACAAACAGTATGATAAGAGAAATCTGAACCCGAAAAGTGCAATGGTGTAACATTGTTCTTCTGAGTTCTGTAGCATACTAATCAAAGTACACATTACAATCACTAAATGAGTATATAATAGGATGGATTACTGAAATATGCAAAACTTAGACTTGGCAATCCCATTGGTGCAAGAGTAACAGAAACTGGAATAAATTGGCAAAGGATGCTTTACCAAAACTAGCAATCCAGTATAATAAATAGCATGGATAAAACCAAAATATTGATTATGATGCATAAATAGTTGCAGTCAGATAAGAAATGTCCACAGTGGCAGTTAGAGGCACAGAGATGATTTTTAAAATCTGAGGAAATTATATACTCCATCATTAACCAGAAAATGATTTATATTAAAGGAGGGATAAATCAATCAACCTGACCTTCTCAACAAGCAGGTAGGTGGTGGAGGATCTACTCATGGAATATTTTATAGAGAAATGCCAGCAAGTTTATTGTTAATTGAGGCATTATACCGAACAGGTGGCACATGTGTCACCTGAACACCAGTGGTCTTGTAGAGCAAGAAATTGATGAGTTGACGCTAGAAAGCACTAACAGCACCTCTTGAAGTTATACAGCTTAATCTATTTTTTTACGGGGTTTTGGAAAAGGAAAATATGATGGAACTCTCATCAATTTTATAAGAGTAAATTTCACAATGGTCTGCCTTTTCTTACCAATGTTTTACATTGGGCTAGGGTTAGGTCAAAATTTTCACTTAACACCATATATATTTGCCAAGAGTTGCACTTTGGGCTAGGCTCCAGGATTTGAGCCCATCTGGATGAGCAGACATCTTCTCCCTCCCACAAGGGCATGCGCAACCTCACCGCCGCCACTTCTGTCGCTGGTCGGGAGTTGAGCGCAAGGGGACGCGATGGGGGTTAGCCAAGGAGAAGGGCGATGCAGCAGGCACTGCTCTGTTGTTGTTTTCCCTTGCTGTCCAGTAGCTCAAGGGGCTGACGAGATTGGCTAGAGGATAGAGATTAAGCGCGGCGGCGAAGTGAGTGGCGGAGTGGTTATTGGAAGGAAAGGCGTTAGAGTTGGGGACGACGGCCATGGCCATGAAGCTGACGGTGGCAGAATCAAGGTCAATGAAACAACATTAGGGGACAAGTGCTTGTTCTTCTTCCCCAGCTCTAGCATGGGATTGACATGAAGTTCGTTTTGCGTGTGATTGACATATCCAGTTGAATTAGGGGCAGGGCATAGCAAACGGTGGAGAAGCTGCGCTCCAGAGTTGGAAGGAGAGAGGAGGCTCCCAGCTTGCCCATTTATCTCCTAATCTCGCTGACAAGTGAGCCACCGGTCCAAACTGAATTTTTTTGCTGTAAGACCTAGCCTAAAGTGAAAACATTGTCTATAGGATGGTCCAAACTAGAACTTTGGTAAATATAACTAGACCAATGTGCAATTTACTCATTTTTTTATAGTTACCAAAGACAGCAACAAGAATAGCCAGATTAGTGATATCCCTAGGTGCTAAGACCTTAGGTCCAAATGTTAAGGCATATTTTGATTGGGCTATGGGAAACGGATCAAACCGCATGAAATGGTTGCCTTGGAATACTGGAGTGTTTTTATGACACCTGAGCAAATGGTAACACATTTAGCAATTGAGCACTATAGAAACTCCTGGTATTATAAGTCCCTTCAATAGTGTAAACTTGACTACCTGAGACAACAAATAGAATGCTATAACTCAAAATAAATGTCAGTACATCAAAAAAACCACACGTACCAGCATAATCAGTAAATTTTGTGCCCCATCTCCAGAAGGAAATACTTTCAATCTTCCCTCAAATTGTCCAGGAATTGATAAAAATGCAGCTGCCTCCGGTTTCTAGGCACCCGCAATCCTGAAAATAAGATAATTTCAACATGGGCTATAAAGATAGCAAATATGAGATATATAGTTTTTTGTTGCTTTGTTTATTATTAATAATTTGATAATGATAAACAATTAATGTATTTCACCTTCACTATAATATACCACCAGTCTGCCACTATAAGTAGGCCTTCATGTTCATGGTCCAGCAGCTTGTTCCCTCTCCAATGTAGGAAATAATGCCCTTGCTTTATATGTGGTTTTGAATGCATTTCCAATAATGTATATTCTAATTAGAAAGGAATAAGGCCAGGCAGTACAGCATATGATGTAATATTGGTGCACGTTCTCCACTCTGGTAATCTTTAACTTTCCAATCAGGCAGACAGGCACCAGTGGAATCATCTTTCCAAACAAGAAATGCTACCCGTTTTGCAGTTTCCTCAACTTTTATGTAAGTTAACAGCTTTCACGACACATGACAGCATAACAGGTGGTATACTGTATGAGAAAGTTTGAAAAATACCATTGTAGAGATACATGAGTTGCAAACTATCATCATATGTGAGAATGACATGCGGATCCGCATGTCAATGACACATGATGGCATTTTTCAACTCTGAGATTTTTGCAAATGGTACCAAGTATGATACTCATAAATATAATAGGAAAAGTAACGGTGTACCACTAGCAAATAAACAATAACTGTACCTAATGACAATAAGCAACATTGAATTGTAAATTGTAGTGCATCACAACCATCTAAAGCAAACTTGTTTCATTATCATTTTTTTCAGTCACTTTCTACTGACTGCTATTGTACACATGTCCCAGAAAAACTAGGGAAATTTTAAACAAATGGTTCATAACATATGTATATAAAGCAACAGGAAAACCACTACCACATATCCCAGAAGAACAAGCTAATGGTATCACATTCTAATGTTTAATTTCACCATTTAGATCAATGGAAATTACACATGCACGGAAGTTGTATGTTTTGTTTCTCAAAGAGTGGCAGCTAAAGAATGTAAGGACACAATATACATCCACATTTCAAATTTTAGGAAGTTCTGGCATAATATAACCAATTTACTGGAGTTATTATGTTGAGCTAAACATTCACGCCTTCAGATTGTGCTGGACTATCTGACTTGTTTTTTGCACTTTGTGTTGCTACATCACCCTCACTGTCAGGAAAAACTTCTGGCTGCAGTGAAGGTGCAATCTTGTTAACTTGAAGCCATGTTGCTTCCCACAAACTGTTCTCTTCACTGGTGCTTGTCTTTGATAAAACCCGATTTGCTTTTAGCACCAGCAGTATGTTCTTCAGTAGCTCTGGGATAACCTCTTGTAGCTTCTCAGTCCTCCTCCCTCTCACTTTGACTTTCATAAGCTTCTCTATCATGTCAAGTACTTCCAACCACAGCTTACTGAAGCTGCTCTGTGATGAAATGTCATTAAGTGACTGCAAGAACACTTTGCATAGAAGTTTTACAGCATGCAAGAGGGACACCTCCATGTTTCTGAAATCCTTCGGTGAGTAATTTTGTGCAATCTCCAGTAATTCATCAAGCAACTGGAAAATAATATCAAATGACATCAACCATGCTGAAGATGGCACTGATATCCCATCAACTACTAAGCATCTGTGCAATGATAATAGCGCATGATTCCTTACTTCCTCCCTCTGGTCTGTGCACACCTTCCGTAGTGCCTGCACTAGTCGCAGCCACATCTCAGCAATTCCTTCCAATATCCTGTCAGCCTCCCCACCAGCTTCCTTAACCTCACGTGACCAGCGTGTAAGACAATTCACTGATTCTGCCATAAGGTTCAAAGCATGGATAGATCTTTCTGCAGAGCCAAGCCGAGACTCTGCAAACTGCCTTGAGGCCTCCACAGAAAGGACAAAGTTAGCAGGGGAGAGGTGTGCTCCCTCAGACATGATAAAAACTAGGGCTTCAAAACCAACATCAGAAGCATCTGGATGACGAGCAGTGATGCAGAGTAATGAAATGATAGTTCGCCAACCCATCTGGGACTTTATATGAGTTGCATTGCCCTTAACCAGGCGCGTAACCTCCTGGGTAATGTTCTCACAATAAGCATCAGCCACACGAGCATCGAGCTTCAAAATTAACTGAAGAGACCTCAGTAAATCATCCACAAGATTCTCCTTATAAGGAAGCAAGCGCTGACAGATGTGCAGCAGCCCAAAAACAGCCTTCTCCACCAGATTACAGGGCATCACTGTAGACTGAACAATATGAGTTATGTGCTCAAAAACACCCTGCCACAAAAGGACAATCCTGTCTCTGTTGTTTAAAGTGACAGTAATTAGAAGCTCTAAGCAAAAGACTGATGTGCTTTCATCATCAAGTGAGCTGGTGATCCTTTGTGGTCGACCTGCCGCCTGGGTGAGGGCTCTTGCCAGATTTAAGAGAGAGTCAGCTTGTAAGAATTTGCTCTCAGTGAAGATGGTACCTATTTGGCACTTCTTTATGGTCTCTGAAGCATTCCTCTGAGCAGCAAGTTGCTCCTCAGTTGGCTGGAACCTAGATTCTTCAGCATCTAAATACAATAGCTGACTAAACCTCCCCATGAGCCCATATGATTTTTTAGGAGTGCTGATTGGCACAACTTGAGGTGCAGCTCGAGATGAGGCAAGCTTGCTAGGCAACATATCTGATGAGGACTCCTGATCATCAGCTGTGTCACCGGTGAGGCAACCAGGAAGTAGGCTTATTTTATGCAATCTTAAAATGCAATCTACTATGTTCCTCCACCCACTGCGTATGTGATCACCATGAGTAGTTGCTATAGTAAAAACAGCCTCGGTTGCCATTCTAGCCTTGGTGTCCTCACCGAAAGTTGTTACAGGATCATTAATATAGGAAGTGTTCAGCAAGGTGGTGAACTTACATAGTGCCACAACAAGATCATTCAACACATCATCAAGATGATAGAATGCCGCCAACTTCGCCACTGATAGAAAACCATTAATGCATCCTGTAAGGAACTCTTCATGCTCAACATTATCAAAAACCACTGAGATAGCAGCAACCGTTGGTCCAGCCATGATAGTAAACATGTCATGATCAAGAAAAGGGAAGGAGTCACAAGCAATGTATGCTGATGTCCTCTTTGACTTCCACATCAGATCAACCCACCGGCTGAAAGACATCTCAGAGCATCCAGCTCCTTGCTCCGGAATGGTTCTGATTTCATTCCGACAAATAGAATAATACAATTCCGACAAGAATTCCCTTGGAAGATCGTTCCCACCATTGATACGGCGATTGTTCTTAATAAAGTCTTCTTCCGTCATCTTCTTCTTAACCCTTATATTGTGCTGATCTGTGTTGAGCATGATTACTGAATATGACAACACCAGAGCAGCATCCCGGTTAACAAACATTTGTGGTGATTGTTCATAATATCTCTCAGAAAAGGCCTCAAGAATCCTTTGTATCTTCTGTGACTCACCAGGCAGCCGAAAAGTTTCCAAGAAGAGCCTTAAGGCAGCATCCAAATTCATCTCCTTGAAGTCAAAGGTTTTAGCAAACTCATGAAGGACCAGAATGGAAAACTCATCATGATTTCCCAGGTAGTCCCCAAGAAGATTCTTATCTAACCCAGGTGTGTACCGGAAAAACAACGCCACACTGCGTGGATCAAGTCTTTCAGGCAGGAGATGAGCCCCTTGCAGGTACTCAAAGCCCTTCTTTTTGTCCCTGTTGAAATGTTCAACACCAACCATTAGCTTTCTCTTGATGCTCTTTTGCTGGTGAACAAATCTAACCCATTGATCAGGATCATTAGTGTTCTCACATTTCAACTGCCAAAAAGGAAAATATTCACTTATTTCAGGCACTGTTTGTTCATGATGCTGAGGTGCATTATCAGTCCTCTCTGCTATTGCCTGAATGACCAAAACCAAACCATCTAGAGCAAGCACATTCAGGGTGGACAAAGGACTTTTCACAGGAAATGCACTTTTAGACAGAAGGTTAGCAAGGTCTTCAAAAATATTACTGGACTGTAAATCACAATCCATATTCGCATACATCTCCGCCATAAACTCTTTCTGCCGACAGAAATCCACTAGAGCCTCCAGAGCAACTTCCTGTTGCTGATAACTAGCACCATATCTACTCTGCCCAAGTCTTATGATAACACATGAGAAGAAAGCCTCAAGTTGTAGCTTAAGTTCCTGACGCAAATGGTAGAAGAGAGTAAAAACAATGCTGCACACGGTTGACAGAATCAAAGGGCTCATTGACAAGCCAAATTGCATTAGATTGCGGAACAGTTCATCTTGTACAAATGCCAGCAATTCGGGGTGTTTGTTTATGGATGAAGCTGACAACTCAATAGCAGAACTAATCAACCCGAGGGCAAATAGTGGCACATCCTCATCAAAGTCAATTGGATTAATCCTTGGATTCACCTCAATGTCTTCTGCTATGTTCAAAAGGGAGCACAAGAATTGCAATATCTCTACCATGCAAGGAACCCCAAACAGCTCACTCATAGCCTGGTCTTGAACAACACCAAATCCACCTCCCACCTCATCTCCAGAGCTATTCAAGCACACAAAATCACTCTTCCCGTTCCCTATCTCTCCATCACTCAAACCTTGGTTCTTGCTACAAGCAGTCTGCAGAAAAATGCTATCACCAGTATTAATGCATTTAACTTAGTACAGGGATATATGAATGAGCCTTCTTACTGCAACATGCTCTTTCCAGAACTAATGTGATGCAAGTTAAATTTAGAATGGCAGCTATTTGAACTAGCGAGACAATATACCATGAACATCTTTAACAAAAAAAATTCACATAATATACATTTCTTTAAACTCACCTAGATGAGCATTGCAAGTTAAATTTATCATGTTTAGTGGAAGACAATCGCAGCATTTCTCATCATGTTTCCAACGCACAAGTAACTAAGGTTCGAAATCTTTACAGGAAGGAATCACACCTGCCCGTCGGCAACCACGGTGGCATCAACATCAGGCAGGCGAGCGAAGACACAGCGGATAACCTCCTGCATGGTCTGGCGGGAGACGCGCTGCAGCAGCTCCCCCTTAGTGCCGGCTTGCTGCACGACGCGGAAGCAAGTGCTGACGATGTTGCAGACATGGCGGTTGGCCAGAGCTGGCGCAGCGCGGCCACGCACGCACGCGAGAAGCACTTGGAGGACCCGAGCCAGCACCGTCTCCTCGGACGCCGGGTCAGTGACCTCGAAGCGGCACCCCGTGACGGCCTCCACGACGGCGCCCATGGCCTCGGCGACGTTGGGCGCGTCGGGGCCGACGAGGTCGAGCGTGAGTATCTTGTGCAAGGACGAGAGCGCGGCGCCCGTGATAGGCGCGCCGGTCTCGTCGGAGCGGACGACGTCGAGGAAGGGGCGGAGGTAGAGGAGCGGCTCGACGTCCCGCCACTGGCGCGTGTCCCACGAGGCGGCGCGGCGGCGCAGGGACTTGAGCCCCGCGATGAGCGGGTGGTCGAGGTGCTCGTCGTCCGCGCCGTCGTCGCCGCCGTAGCGGACGCCGGCCCAGCGGACGTTGCGGCGCATGATGGCGAGCACCGTGGCGACCTCCGACGCCAGCACGCACGCCATCGCCACGCGCGGCGTGGGATCCGATCCCGCCCCGGCGCCTGCGCCTGCGCCCGACGACGGCGACGCTGCCCTCAGGCCGCCCATGGATCTGGGCGCGCGGGGTGGGAGAGACTACGCGGCGGCGTGCAGCTACGACTACGAGGGCATTTGGCAATTGGGATCTGAGAGAGAGGGGGTAGGGGGGATGGTGAGATCTGGTTTGGTGTCTTGCACGGGCTTGGATCTGAGAGAACTCCTTGCAGTAGTCTTGTTTACTCTGTGCTGTTCCATAATTCAATTCTCTTTTTTGTACAAAAATTGGTTTTTATCCTTTCGGGCGATTTTTGTTTTGCTTTAGATTCCCTTGACTTGATTTCTTCTTTTATTTGGAATGCCAAAATCAACCCTACCAAATTTTACAGTTCTAAATTTAACATTGCCAACACTTGGTAAGATTAAGATGTGTAAAATGAATTTGGTTTACTACCTTTGTCTAACTTTTATGAGAGCGAGAATATACCATTACCAAGTCTCGGTAGTGGAAGCTATTTTATGCAAGGTTCATATTGTTACCATGCTAAATTTTTTGTGATTCAAAATTTTGGTAGGAATTTTTTTGCCCTTCATTCACAAACTTAGAAATCATTCTAATTTGGATTAAGTCCGATTTACCCCCATAAATTATCACAAAAGTATGAATTATCCCCCTCAACTCTTATATCGGACATTCTATTCCCTTGCAATAGATGAATTACCCCCCCCCCCCCACCTCTCGACTAGGGATGAAAATGGAGCGGATACGGACGAATAATGCTCATACCATATTTGTTTTCATTTTTTTTTGCTGGATACTGAAACAAATACGGACTATCTTAAATACGAATAAGAATCAAATATGATTGGACACGAATACGGAAATATTTTTTTCTTGAAACACGAAAACCAACTCAACTTCAAATAGAAACATATATCAACATATATAATTAGCTCATTTTATATAAAATGTAGTATAATTTATAAATATTTTTGAAAAATTAAATAATATTAATAGTGTGGACTAGTGTTAAGAGATGAACTACTATTAAAATCTAGAAAGTTATTTTGAAGGTCATAGAATTATAAATAAATATGGCATGTCTCATGACTCTTGTGGATATCCGAATAACATTGTTCACCAGATATCCGAATTATTATACGTATCCGACAGAAACCCCGATACCATATTCGTATTTGTATCCGAGAGAAAATATCCGTATCCGTATCAGTATATGAACTATCTGAGAATTATCCGATTCGAAAAGTATCCGTATTCGTTTTTCTCCAAAGCGAACGAAAACTATCTGCTCCGTTTTCATCCCTACCCCCAACCCAATTGAGAATAGTTTTTATACTACATGGCGCATGGGTGGCAATCTAGTCACCTGCTTAATAAAAAAAAGTGGTGGCGTCGAGCTAATATCAGGTTACAACAGGGGAAATGTAGAGCTGGCGATATCTCGTTGGGCTTTCGTGGTGGAGACATGCCTCCACTGCCACCTTTCTCAACAACAGCGGTGAGGATTGGGAAGGAGCTTGTGATAACAACTAGAACATATGGAGGTGTCATCCGTGGGCCTCTCCGCTCTTTGATGCATGTGCCCTTTGCTCGCCGGAAGAAGGGAGGAGAGGGTGAGGTGGCCGCCCGCTCCCTCAACTCACCAAGCTATATTGCTCAACCAAGAGGGCATAGAGAGAAAGATCAGGAAGGGGGGGGCTGCTAATGGGCGACAGGGCGCGCGCCCAGCCGCCCGCGCAGTCACCTCTCTTGTGCTACAGTATACTACTAGTACTACCTACTACCTCTACTACTACAAGTAGTACTACTACACTGTTGTATACAAACTTTGTGTACGCGTATACGAACTTTGTATACGTAAATACATACATATTTAAAAAACCAAAAACCAAGAAAAAACAAAAAACACCACGTATACAAACTTTGTATACGTACATACAAAAATCTAAAAAAATACATGTATATAAAGTTTGTATACACGTATATAAAAGTTTATATATGTATATACAAAGTTTATATTTTGCACGTATATAAAGTTTGCATACGTATGTATTAAAAACTGAAAAAGATACGAAAAGAAAAAGAAGAAACCGAAAATACGGAAGAAAACAGAAAAAACGAAAAAAGGAGACCGTACACACGCGTCCGCAGAAGAAAACAGAAAAAAAAAGGAAAACCATACGTACACGCGCCGTCTACCGCTCCTCTCTACGCACGACACGTGTCCAGTCGCGCGCTAATTAGTGTTTTCCGAGGGTGGGGGGAGGGTTCAGTTTTAGAAATGACTTAACAAAAGTTTATTTTAATATACTAGTAATATGTTCGTACTAACGTTACGTTACGGTGCCATGATATTTGTTTAATCTAACCTACTTAAAAGTTGAAGTGTCTCATATTAGAGTCGAGCTTCAATCGCATCCGACAACCGCTTTCTCCCACAAGGCCTCAACAAAGTACATGTAGTACTTCTCCAACAACAACGCGCCGCTGTTATCAGTTCTCCATTTTGATTTCTCTATTTCACATCTGGAAGCTATATGCGGCAGTGGGAGCTAAAGGCAGCGACACGTAAAAAATTCCAAGGGCAAGGCAGAGATTTCACGAGGCATCGAGCTCCAAGCTCCAACCGACAACTGTCATTGGTGCTAGGTAGTGAACCTGTGATTCTAGGAAGGAGTAAGGCAAATCATTTTGCCATCAGATCCACCAGATTTGGCCTCATTGCGGTCTTGCGATTCCAAATCCGGCAACTATAACCTTGGCAACAATGGTTACAACAACCATTGGTGTCCAGAATCAGCCGCAATCTTCAACTATTAATGATGGTGGCAAGCGGCGGTTTCTAGTGGCCACGATCGGGACATCGAGCGGCAAAACAATAGGCGAGCGACAAGATTGGGGGACAAGGTAAGGTTGGCAGATTTTTTTTTTCTTTTCATTTGACTGGCATATAGGTCCCCATAAATTATTTTAATTTTTAAGGTGCAATTAGCATTGACATGTGGGTCCTATTATATATTTTCACTGACTATAATTATACGTAAGTACCACGTCAATTGAACACTAAGTCAAACACGCCTCATAAGATGAAACCGTCATAAAAAATCATCGAGAAACTCGATTTACGCTGGTTTTAATGGGTAGGACCTAAATTGGACTTTTTCGAAAATAAATAATATCGGATGTTCTGAGCCCAGCGAGGTTGTGAGCAAGCAAGAACTTGGTTTTTTTTGGTTTGGGAAACCCTAGTACGTGTTCAATTTTGCTCTCAAAAGGACAGCACTTAACGATGTACATAATTTGTAGCTTTATTTTGCCATCTTGCCGTCTCAAACTATATATAATTGGACAATTAAATTATAGGACCAAATATGTATAAATCAGCCATCACATATTCTGTGAAGCATCATCATCACATTATAATGATCAATGCTGACTGTCCAAGCATCTCCCAGTACTGCAGTCTCGAACTCTCAACCTCTGTTGCCATACTAAATTGGTATCAATAAATTGACCCAGTTACTATCTGGACTCTCAAATTTTCACATTGACATTCAATTATCACATTCATTATTGATGTGCAATCTGAATTCAGTCAATTTTAGCTAACTGTAGCTTCTTTTTTCCCTAGACCACCATATTTCATCCATCTAATATAATACAGACCATATTTACAATCTCAATTCACAATTAAATTTTATAAGCATGTATAAAATACAGACCAACAAATCCTCCTCAGGTTTCCGCACATGACAAAATAGTTCAACCAATTGCATCATATCATACCAGTAATCAAATAACAAAAATCTAAATTGGTTCACACATCACTTATATATCAATACAGGACAAAAATATATCACACAGTGAAGGGTAAGGGAGAAGAGATCAAACCAAACATAAGGCAATCTGGGTGGTTCACTTACTGTATTGGCTGAATATGGACAAAACTTACACGAGCAGATTTTACAACTTAAATAAAATATCATAGATGCTGACAAACAGGCATACACCTAAATTCACATGGAGATTCTTGTACCAAAAAATAGAAATTAAAAATCGTAATGTCTTAAGCCTAACATGCCTGACATGTCTTAAGGGTTGAACACAAATCCAGTGAATCCCTCACATAGCCATAACTATGACTTATATGTACATTCCTGCCTAAACGCCATATATTATCTAGATAAGAAAATGAATTACAGATACAAGAGGTGAACTCAAACCATTGCATATTGTTGATCCGTGCATGTGTAGCATGAATGGACTAATGTGTGGCATATCCAAGTGAGCTAGTAATATCAGCAGCACCATGCAGATAATTAGCTAGATTGAAAGGATATTTTGTGTATGTAATTCTTGAATTCTAGATCCCATAAATATTACAGGGTGCATTCTTATAACATGTATATGGAAACTCATAGGAGCTAGATTGCTATAAATTTTTGACAGGAAACAATAGGATCTATAATAATCTGAATTAGGAAACAACATGTGCATAAAGGTACATAAATAAGAAATAGGTCATTAGTAAATACACATTGTCCTGAATAGGCATTGAGAAGATTATTCAGTTATAGAATTAACTATCTCATCAAACAGTTGAAAACAAGAAACATATTAGGATTCCTCAGGAGCATCACATATGAATGCATCAGGTTAAGAAGCTCGAAAGCCAGCTAAATTGTTGTAAGATGCATTCTCAAATTAAATCAGAGAAATATTTTGTTTTTGTGACACAAGCAAACATTAAATTGTGTTGATTCATATAAATGTATAGTGTATGGACATACCTGCAGTGAGGTGTCCTCCTTTCAGCCAAGCGTAGAAATAATTTTGCAGTCTATGATATCTATTGTTAAAGATAAATAGCCATTGTCTTTATCCGTCAGGTGAAATGGCAAAAACCTGTACAAAAATCAATCAGAGCAAAATCAACTACCACATGATTATACATAACAAAAAGATGTGATGATGCAATGTGCAATAAATGGGAAATGGAGAAAGGAAGATAAGCCATTCACAAATTCTTGATGATATCCTCTGCAGTATGATTAAGATGTGAATGATCTTCATATTAGAATGAGGCATCTAATAATTTTACAAATAAAAAGAATATAGCACCAGAGATCTTTTGGTACCAGAAAAATAGCACTGGAAAGGCAAAGACAAGGATAGGTGAAAATATGGATAAAATATCTGGAATATTTAGTTTCTGTTCTGTTCTAAGGCATCTTTTGATGATTTTCCCCATGAAAAGAAATGATGCCAATGGTGTAATGTCAATAGCTGTTGCTTGTGATCACTACTCATTTCTTCCTTCCCTACTCTCTAGAAATGGCCAGTGTCAATATCTCAAGAATCTGCAAGAAACGATGTTCAGACTTTATGTTCTGAAGCAAAATGCAGAAGCAAACATTTAGTTAATAGTCTTCAGATCCTGGATTGAGCAGTTAGTAACGATCAAACTAAGGTAAACGAATTCTCACTTTTTTGTTAAATGGCCGTGCTCTGAATTTTGGGATGTTGGCCAGCATCTCCTCCTCTAGCTCAGCAGAGCTTTTCACTCTTGACTGCACGGACCCTGTGGGAGGTCTGAAACTCAGGTTCCTTTGGCTTTGTTAGCATAAGGTCTTCTTTTTAATGCAGTTGCTGCATCCTCCTGCATTGTGCACAAAATTGCAATATGTCAAAACGCTTACCGTTCAGATGTCCCCTATTTTCAAATACAAATATGAGCATCACGGAAAGAAAAACAACAATTCTGTACAAGTGCAGGCAAAATTTTGTTGGCAATCAGCAGTTCAGCACATCAGGTCTTTACATGGAACTGAATGCCCACACACAAGCTGAGAAAAATGTGTATATTAACAAAACTGGAGAAATGCACACATTCTAAAAATAATAACAAAGGGTGCTAACATGAGAAAGCGATCTGTGGTGAGTTCCAGCCTCCAGGCAATAACAGAGAGGGAAAAAATTTATGGATTTTTACTGGCGACCGAGTGAGAAGGTATAGGAACCTAGCATAATTGTTGGCAGTAGAGGTTATACTCCTAAATCCATGGACGTATGGGCATATTATGCCTTTGCATAACCACAAAATTTAGTTAAGTAGAAAAGAGCAGTGGCTACCTGATTGTATCATGTGCCAATTTCCCTCTGTTCTAGTGTCCTATATGCATATCCATCTACCTTCTATTGATTTTTTTTTTTGCTGCTTTGGAGTACCAAATAACATTATTCATGTTAAACCTAGAGAGCATCAGATAGTAAATTTGACAAATATATGCATTCCCATGCTTTCTATATATTCCAGTTATGTAAAGGAGAGGGCATAAGTATATTATGGGTAGCTTTTCTATGGGAAAAAATGGTTTCAGGTCTCGTACGTCATGCCGCTTTTAGATTCATTTACAGTTACATGGCTATATCCACAGTGCAGGCCTCAAACAGGATTAATGTCCAGCAATCCAGCTGCACAAAAACAAGCCTTCCGTGCAAAGAAGTGAGAAAGAATACAATTCCTCAGGTTCGAGCAATCAAACCTGAGAGGAGAGGTCAGTGAAGGTGAAGGTGAAGATGGTGACAGCGGCGACGCAGTTGGACTTGGCAACGAACACTGAATGGCGGCGGATCGACAGCGACTTGCGAAGGCGGCTAGACGTGGCACTGATGCGACGGCAGTGGAGGGAGGATGGTTGAAGACATCATTCTGACGATGATGCTCGCTCCAACGACGGATGTGCGCGGCGAAGGGGACTCGACGATGAAGACTGAATGGCGGCGGATTGACAGCGACTTGCAAGGCGGCGGCAGTGAACAAAACCAGAATATGAGGGAGATGCGGCGAGGGCGGCGATACGGAGCCGCAGAGCGCGGGGATGTGCGAGGGCCGAGTGCTGAGGGAGGCGATGCGGACGGAGATGCGGGGATGGTGTGGAGGCGCCGTGGGCGACGGTCGATGGGGACCGGGTGGCGGCGGAGCGACGACGACCTGCGAGGCAAGCGCGCCGTGAGCGACGGTGACCTGCGGGGCGGCGGAGGTTAGGGTTGGGAATCGCGAGGGAATGGAACAAATCGGCGAGGGCGGCGACCTGATGTTGGGTCGGCGACCTGAAAGAGGGAGGGCGGAGGCACGGCGACGCGGTGGAGAGCGATGGGCGGCGATGGCGGACGGCGTTGTTTTCTGCGAGAGGATAGGAGCGGGGGGAGGGGATCGGCGCTGTTTTCGGCGAGAGATGGATGGGAGGGAGCCGTCGGATCTAAGTCATAGGAATAATTTGGATCGTTGGTGTGATATGATGAATGATGAATGAGTAAAACCATTTATTGAATTACAAGGTAGATTATATATATATATATATATATATATATATATATATATATATATATATATATATATATTAAAAAGGTTCAACAAATGTATAAAATTCTAGCCCTAGAGGAAGAATTCCAAGAAACACTTTCTGGTCTAGAAACAATTGAGTGCCCAAATGATCAATTTATAGAAATAGGTTTGGCGATAGCTTTAAAAATAAAGAAAAGGAAAAATAGCATGGCGACGAAAGAGTTAAATTCAAGAGAGAATCCACTCAGTACCACTGAGTTCGTCAAGTTTCAATAATATACCACCGACTTTGTCAACATCCATTATATACCATCGCCTTTGCTTTAACCTCTACAATTTACCATCGCCGTCCACAGTCCGTTAGCTATACTCCGTTTGTACTGTTATATTTTTTCGTAATGACCGAAATGCCCTTTGAGTCATCTAACCCTAACCAGTCAATCCTCTCCAGCGCCCAGTCAATCCTCTCTTCCATCCCTTCCTAGCGCTAGCACCAGTGCCGCCACGCAACCTCCGCGCCGCATCTCCGCCCGCCGCCGCATCTCTGCCCGCCGCCGCGCCGCACCTCCGCCCACCTCCCCGTTGCATCTTCGCCCCCTCTCCCCCCGGCTGCCACCCGACCCTCTCGCCGCTATGGGCGGCCCTACTCCAACGGGAGAGCCGCCTCCCTCCCTATCGTCATCCCCAATGCGACAGCCGTCCCCGGTGCCGCCCCGACCACCGGCCCCAGCGCCTCCACAACCGCCGGCCACGGCGCCTCCATCCCTTGTGCCGCTGCTGCTGGTGGTGCCGTCGTCGTCAGCGCCGTCGTCATCGTCGAATGAGGTGCTGCCGATGGGAGAAAATGCCCATGTGCTGCCGATGGGAGAAGATGCCCCTATGCTGCCGATGGGAGAAGATGCCCCTATGCTGCCGCCATCGTCGTCAAAGGAAGTCGTCCCGGTGCCGATTGCCGTTGTTGCTCCCTCCATTGGCATCCAAGATGGGTAATTTCCCCTCTCCTAAACTTGTATGTTGTGCATTTCTGGTTCCTAGACTTGTATATTTGTGCATTTCTGGTTTTGGTTGTTAAGTTTATTTCCAATGTGTGGATCCACAGGATGGATCCATATTCCACTTATGTTCTCACGGTGAGAATTATTCGCGCGGGCAGTAGATTTGAGGGTGCATGGGTGTTTGATTGGACAATTGATTCCGACACCACTAATTTTAAAGACTTTGTTGATGACATTTGTGAGAAGTATCCATGGGGCATAGATGAAACTGTAACAGTGCAGTACCTTGATAGTGGTTTGAATCTGTTTTGCACAATATATTCTGATAATGATTTGATGACAATGTTTAAGTGTTTTGAGCAAAATAAAACTGGTGATGTGTTTATCACAATTAATGGTTCAAGTGATGAGTCCATCATTGGCAAGCTGTGTACACCATCAGTTCCTATCCCCTCTCAGGCATGTATTTCTCAGATCAGCAATGAACCATTAGAGGATGGTAATTTGGCAGATAACATGGTGGACATGTATCTGGCCAATCCCTTTGAACATTTTGAGCATGTAGGTGTTGATGAGGAGGATCAATACTCAATTGGTAGTGATACTCCAGAGTCTGATAATAATGAAAGCAATACATCTGATTCTGAATATGTGCCTGGGGTTGATGAGGATGAGGAGGATGATGGTGATGATAGCTCTGATGATGATGATGACTGGGTCACAGCAAATGCCACACCTGATGAAAGTACCCCTATCATAACTTATGATAAAAATGACCCACCAATGAGTAAGGGTACTATTTACCCTTCTATTGAAGAGTTTCGATTGGCAATAGCTCAATATTCAATTAAGCATGAATTTGAATATGCAATTGAGAAAAGTGAACCTAATCGATTCAGAGCGCATTGTCCTGTGAAAGGGTGTAATTGGAGAATCCATGCATCACGCTCGGCTGATAAGAAATCAATTGAGGTAACCTAGATGGTCTTATGTTTTTTTTGTGTGATGATATCTTCTATATAATTGCACCTGACTTTTATTTCTTTTTTGTATATCCATGTGTAGGTCAAGGTTCATGTGGCTGACCATGAGTGTGCAAGCACTAGAAGAGATGAGAAGTTGAAGAGGGCATCCAAGGCATGGATATGTGAGAGGGTGATTGAATGGATGAGGGAAGACCCAAGTGTTGGAACCGCCGAGTTAGTAAGGAGGATAAAAGAACACCACAAGATAAATGTCAACTACAAGAGAGTGTGGACTGGTCAAGAATTAGCACGTAAAAGGTTGTTTGGTGATTGGGACAGCAGCTTTGACAAGCTATATAGGTGGAAGGGAGAAATTGAGAAGAGGTGTCCAGGAAGTTTAATATCTATTGACCACATGACATTCAAGGAGAAGCGAAGGTTCACACGAATGTTTGTAGCTTTCAAGCCATGCACTCATGGGTTTAGAGCTGGTTGTAGGCCTTACTTGGCAATCGACAGCACTCATTTGACAGGGAAATATAGAGGCCAATTAGCAACAGCTTGTGCAATTGATGGCCACAATTGGCTATACCCAGTGGCTTATGGCATCATTGATTCAGAAACAAGTGAGAATTGGATTTGGTTTATGGAGAAATTGCGATTAGCCATTGGTAACATGGATGATTTAGCAATATGCACAGATGCAGGCAAAGGGATTGATTTTGCTGTTGAGGAGGTCTTTGAGGGCGTAGAGCATCGAGAATGTATGCGTCACCTTGTTACCAACTTCAAGCTAAAGTTCCATGGCAAAGTTTTTGATGAACATTTGTGGCCAGCTGCATATGCATGGACAGAACAGTCTCACTCCTATCACATGGGAAAAATTGAGGCTGCTAAGCCAGAAGCAATATTATACTTGAAACAACACCACCCAAGGTAACTTAATTCTCATATGTTCATGCATTACTTGATGCTCCCTGCTCATGCATTACTTAATTCCATCTTCCTTTCAGGTTATGGTCTAGAAGCAAGTTCTCTTCTGCCTCAAAGGTTGATTATGTTACCAATAATCTTGCTGAAAGCTTTAATAACTGGATCAATAAGCACAAAGGCCTGATGTTATTTGAGTTGATGGACAAGATCAGAAGAAAGACTATGAAGATGTTTCAAAAAAGGAAAAAGGTTGCCAACAAGCTGCAAGGACAGATTATACTCCCAAGTGTGATGAGAGAGTTGAATGCTAAATCAAGAGATCTGGACTTAGATGTTGATAGGAGTGATGATTTGGAAGCTGAAGTCACTGAGAAATCTCCAGGTTAGTATTTCAGTCATTGTTTTAGTCTAAAATGTGCACTTTTATAGTTACTTATGGGCTGTATACTTAGGTGGGAAGAGGCATGTGGTGAACTTGGAAGAAAAAACATGCACATGCAGAGAATGGCAAGTTTCCGGAAAGCCTTGTATCCACGCATTGTCGTTCATAACATCAGTGAGGGGTTTGCATATAGACTCTTTTGTAGATGAATGCTATAGTGTAGCTAAGTTTGCAGCTGCATATGCTCCACGTATTCCTGGTCTTACTGACATGTCACAATGGCCAGAGAGTACACATGGCTTCTTTCTTTATCCACCAATTTTAAAGAGAAGTGCAGGTAGACCTAGGAATAGAAGGTGTAAGGGTGGAGCTGAAGGGAAAGGCACTAGTAAGGGTAGGTCAGGTAGCCAAAAATGCCCTATTTGCCACAACTTTGGTCATAGATGGCAGACATGCAAAGAAGCTGATCCAGATGCTAAGGAAGCATATGCTCTTTTAGCAAAAACAAGGTATTTTCCTTCCTCTATTTGATTTCAGCATTCATTACATTGCTATAAGAGACTTTTGTTATAATTGTTGTCAAATCAATCGATCTAGGCAAAAGAGAAAGAAAACAACACCATCAAATTCAAGTACATGTGCTGCCAATACAGTACAAATTGTCACTTCAACTTCAACTCCAACTTTGGTTGGCCCACCAAGGTAACTAGTATAACTTAAATATGATCACATGGTACTCCTTTTCACTTCAATTTCGTAAATCTGATCATTAGTTCTTCGTTTTGGTGCAGCAAAAAGAAGAGGGCAGCTGCACCTGATAGTTCTAGTTGTAATTTAATTACTTGTGCAAATGCAAATGCTACATCAGTGAGGTATGCAGTTCAAATGTTTTTAATTCCTATTCCATCTTGTGATTGTGTTGTGCCTATTCTAATATATGCATGACCTTCTTTCCTTGTAGTTCAAGTGGCCCTAATCAAACACAAAACCAATGTGCTCTCCTTCCTGTAACAGTAACAGAAGTGAGCACACCACCACCAAAAGCAAAGGCCAAGGGGAAAAATAAGGCCATAACAGCACTACCAGATAGCCCATCTATGTCAACTAGAAGTAAGAAGAAATTGAAGAAATTGACATCAACTAGCCCATCCATGTCAACTAGAAGCAAGAGGAAATTAATTTGATGTTACATGTTGTGGTTTCTATCCTGGGATATGTGCTTGTAACATCTGTGCCATTTAACTTATTTATTTAGCTTTTGTAATGTTGAACTTGCTTATGCCAAACTTGGACATTGGATATTATGCACCTTACTGTCAAATTGTGCTATGCACCTTTTATGGATGAATTTCCTTGCCCACATGCTGTATTGCCCACATGCTGTACATTATTCATACTTATAATATGTCCTCATTATTATTTCTAATCATGTTGAGATATTTTTCACATGTATAGTCATGTTGTACATTCTCTCTCAATTATTATCACTCCCAGGACCCTATTTGGCATGGTTATAGTGTTCCTGGTCTTGACACGTCCTAAGGGCATATTTGTCTTTTTCTCAATGCAACTTAACAGTTTGTGGCTGTGATGGTAAATTGTAGAGGTTAAAGCAAAGGCGATGGTATATAATGGATGTTGACAAAGTCGGTGGTATATTATTGAAACTTGACGAACTCAGTGGTACTGAGTGGATTCTCCCTAAATTCAATGCATACAGCGGTATAGCTCAACATTTTGCTACGCTACTTACCTGGAAATCATCAATCGTCTACCACCAGTACTAGCTACAGCTTTGCTCAAGCAGGAATGCCAATGTAACTGAGCTTTGTGTATTCTTCGGTTCTTCCTCTTGAAATGTATATATGTGGAAGAAAAATAAAAGAAGACCAGAGCCTAGCCTATCATTCCATGCTATTTCTAAGCCACTTAAAGAATCAAGACATTGCCAATGTGTTCATAGCACACCATATACATGAAGTTCTCTATCTCAGAGGTTGTTACTGACAGATCAATTTGTCATTCAGCTTGCTGCCACCAAATTTTTGGCCATCAACCCGGGTTGACGGATTGCCTGACCACTGGATGGTTGATTTTGGGAGTCAACAGAGCTTTGTGAATCAACAACACAGCACCTGATCGGCTTCTGAACCTTGCCGAATGACACAGCTTTCTGGGAGTATAGTTCAACAAACCTGCATATATAAAATAAAAAAACGTTTTGAGTATAAAAGTAGAAATAAAGATATGGAGTAAAAGGCTAAAAGAAGTTGCACGACGGATACAAATGCATGGTCCTCTCTGGAATTTTATCCAGAAACCACGGCACTAGTCTAAAAGCAAATTGGACTGAAAACAATTGGAGAGATACTGAGCTCGTGTAAATTGTGTTTTAAATAAAGAAAATGAAAAACATATTATGTGACCGGAAAATGAACTTGACAGTCTCAGAATCCGTAGAGTGGCTATGGAGTGTTTAAGGTTGGTTTAAAAGGAGCTGAAAGCAAACACACAACAACGGTGAAGAAGCACGAAGAATTTGCACATCAAGTTATGTATGCTGCAGTCTGTGTGATTGAAGGCCTGAACGATATAAAAAGACAATAAAGATAACAGGTCAAGTATATTGCTTCCTAGAGGAGGCCTCAAACATGTATTCCATGGGCATATATTAAGTACAATATGACATTACGGTGTAAAGTGCACACGTGTATCTAGCTTAACATGGGGCAATAAATCAACTGAAAAACTATGACACAAAAATCAACGTGAACTTTTCAAATTTTAGTCTAGCTATTTATGGAATTTCATTTTCAGATTCATTGTATATATATTATGTGTAACAAAAACGAGAAAATTCAAACGAATGATTAACTAAAAGGAAAAGGAAAAAAAAGAAAAAATGTAAACATTCAAATGGGAGAAGCAACTCAATATATTTATGGATGCCAATGCATTTATGAAGTTAAATGTCGGTGCCAACCTAAAGGAACATTTAGCTTGTAGGATAGTGCATGCAGCCTTGGACATCCATAGATAAGTAGGGAAACCATTCATACTCAACAAACTTACGTTGAGTTTGAAGTTCAATTTTAAAGTATGCTTTGTCCAAATTTAATCGTGCTGATTAGGGGCCCATGCTGAAGTTGGGTGTTACAGATACATTGTAAAGGTATATCACAACTGATAAGTTGTCTTTTTTCACAGCTAAAGCAAGCAATAAAACTACCATGACCTAAATGAAAACACTTAGAAATAATATAAAAGAATGTACACGGATAAAGCAAATGACCACAACTTCCAGAAAGTCCAATATATATGCGAAGCAAGCATAAGCCAAATTTACAAATTAACGACTAAGCTGGATTGAGAATATGAAACAAAAGCAAACTTGCGTATGAATACCATTCAGGCATCACAATGGTCAAGTGGTAGATGCCAAAAAGGATATCACAAGCTGGTGCAGTTTATGAAAGAGAAGTACTCGGGCTTGTTAATACAATAACAGGAATTTAGCAAGAATTCAGCTTGTGAGAATCAAAGATCTTGCCTCATTATTTGGCCAAATCATGTGTTAAGGGTCAAGTCATCCGATCTACATAAAGATTGAGTTCTATCTCTGTTCATTAGGCAAGAAAAAAAAATCTTTAGTCTCCCTCTTCTGCCTACACTAGTGGTGCGGTGGCCGCCATGATGCTGTCACGCCATTTGGGGTTCAAGGACACCTCGAATAGTCCTAAGGGCTTTTATCCCCACATGAGCATCGCCACGCATTATGTCTTGCAGACCAACAATATACTAACCAGACTGGGTAACTTGCTGAGCAATTTCTGATTGGATAGAGGGGATACCAATATAAAGACAACTGCAAGGGGTCCTGGGTATGTTGTATTCAAAGAGCTAAATGTGTTCCACATGTTACTATTGGCAAAGCTAGAGCGGCAGTAAACCTCAGCCCATATTTGTAAGGATGATCAAAGTAAGGTACCATCCAAACACCAACTTCAGAGAGTAAACTGAAGTCCAGAACTCTTTGACATAAAAGGCATAGACACATACAGCGCTACTATCAAAAGACAGATATTTTGAAGGATTGGTAATGGTGCTTTTCTACTGGCAGTGGTAGCATGAAGCATTCTAAATTTCTGTTATAGTCAAAGATCCGGTGAGGCTCTATAACAGCCCTGGGCACAGTAGCGCACACATTTTTAGCACTCTTATTGTAGTGATCTTCAAAAGTCGCAGCTGTATCTTCAATTATACTGTGCTAAAGCTTCTGGTCATATTATTTACCATAAGAGTTACATGAGCTAGAAAATGGTAGGATACAAAATTCTATTGGTGCAATTGTGTAAAGCAAACGTAAGTTTGATGGATATAATAAATAGGCAACATATCATATGCACACAAGCTTCAGGTGCACTCATGGTCACACCAACATATGCCACCAAAATTCCAAAAAAATGATCTACATGTACTTCTAATCTTACTATACACATATATAAAATTTTAAGTCCAGATTGATTATACATAAATCACAGCAAAATAGAAAATTCTGAAAATTCCTTATACATAGAAGTTGGAAGTTAGCAAAGTTTGTACTTTGTACTAAAATAAATTACCTGGTAGCAGCCTCCACAGATTCCAGTTTAAGATAGGCAAAACCCTTGCATATAGGATCACGAGTCTTCTTGTTTGCAGAAACCGCTGGCTCAATATTTACAAGGCCTGGAAATCCCTTGAAAGCAAGATTCAGGTCCTTGTGTATGTTTTTCTTTTTTGGGAGATTCCAAACACGAACACAAACACCGCCATCATTGAGATCTGTGGCAACATAGAGAGAATTCATCAAGAGGAATGCTTATGTCTAGTAATCATTTCTTAAAACCAAAGAAGAACATGAGGCAGCTGAGACATCTACTAATGAGACATCTACTACTGACGTGTGAAAGAAACCTACAAATTGTAACACGTGTGTATTGAGAGTTTCTGAAATTCTATTAGTTAAATTCTTGCAGATGTTTATTGCCCTTCCAAGTGGGATATTATTTATAAAAAGTTTGGAAAGATCATATCTATTGAAGGTAACACCATAGGGACATCTAATTTGGTTCATGTTCGAACCAAACACCATGAGAATTAATTGATTGGCATTGAAAATGAACAAGTGAGCAATCTGAATTCTAAGAATGGCCAGTTGTTCGTATTTTGTAGGGACTGAGCAATCTGAATTCTAAATTCTAAGAATGACCAGTTTGTTGTTCCATCCAGGATAATTGCATTTGCTACCTCACACTGTGTTTATTTGGTCAACCCATGTCTTTGGCCCCTGTAAATAACTATCAAAATTCATGTTGGCCCTTTATTTAATTTATCCATGTTTCTACTTTGAAAAAGGGGTACTGATCATGGGGGAATTTATGTTTGGTTGATAGCATGGATTTTTACTAATAATTCTTCTAGTATGAATTTTATCTTGAGTAAAATAATTCCACAGCATACCATGTCTGACAAATGGACTTCTGTTGTATAAACCATTGCATCATTATGGGATAAACAGCATAATTTTGGCTGTATTCATCATTCAAATGTTTAGATATCAAAAAGAATATTCAAATGGTATACATCACCGTGAGAATGTAGAAACATCTTAGAAAACAGGTTTGGTAAGGAAAAGAGTAAAGCAGTTAAAATAGTATGCTATGTGTAAATTGAATAAATTTGCATCACAATGAATTACTTCTCTTTTTTCATTCTGTTGATAGATCACCACATAAGGATGACATCTTCTTGTGAGAAATAGACTTTTAGCAACACTGCAACGACTGAAACTAGAGAAATAACATAACAATGGAGCTCAACTGCCATACTACATTGCAAGAACTAATCAACTATGTACTCAGGGGCAGAGGTAAGCGTAGGGCAGCTGAAGCTTTGAGTCCTAGGCTTGCCTCCATAATCATGCTTAGATCCTCTAATCACCATGAAAATTTTGGAGAAAACAAATAACCCATCAGTTGAGCCCTCGCTGAACCCTAGGCTTTGATAATTCCTGGCTCAGCCCCTAAATGTACTATATAAATATTGTGGAGATAGGCAGCGATGATATTTTTGATCTACTACGCTGCTGCAGATTATCAAAGAAACAACGACTGAGGAGCAGAGACTATATGAGTCTCCGGTGCATTAGTGGTGGTAGATAACGTCAAAGTGTTGAGGAGTGGGCACTGGGCAGAGGACAAGTCATAAGCAGCTGGATTTGTGGAATGTTATTTATCTTTTTTTTTTTTTTGCTTCTTTGCGATATATTGTTGAGCGAAAATTCCTTCTTTATCGAATTACTCAGTACCCACAAGGACACAAATGGATAATTGGATATTCATCTGACATAAGTACTGTATTTTGCTAGCTCGCTGCATCCAATATTCCAATTCACTAAGGATACTAAGTCATAGTGGAATCTCCGAACTTCATGTAATGTGCAGCAACAGAGAATTACTAGTAGTATTATGGTTGATGATTCCTAAACAAACTAGTTGATATCCCGTGCTTTGCTGCGGGATATGTAGATGAATGTATGTTATATATTATAAAAATGATAGACATATGTTTAAATAATTCAGAGATGGTGATTTAACATTGCTTGTGTGCTAAGTTATAAAAATACAACTAAATTACAAATGATATATCATGTTTGCATGAGATCTAAAATACTCTAGATAATAATTGCTAGTGGATGATGATGTGGCACACTTGCATGTTGAGCTTAAGGAGTTAGTCAGTTAGTGGGTTATATACAAAGTATAGATAAGGGAAATGAAAAGAAAAAAAAAACAAGCGCTAACCTTCACCCGTTCCCTTGGCCGAGTTGGCCGCCGCGCGGTTCTTGGCCGGCGTCGGCCCGCTTCCGCTGCTGCGCCGCCTGCCGCCCAAACCCATCTCCCGGAGAAGCTGCTCCTCGATGTCGGTGGAGTACGTCTTCCCGGCGCCGAATCCAACCGGCTTCGGCCGGTTCTTCAGAAATTCATCCTCATCAACCTCCACCTCCACCTCCACTTCCTCATCGTCTTCCTCCTCCTCCTCCTCCTCCTCCTCGTCATCCTCATCCTCCTCCTCTAACTCGCCCAAGCTGGTCGCCACGGGCTCGCGGTCCCGGCGGCCGTATTTCCGCAGGCGAGGGAAGGCGAAGAGGAGGTGGGACGCGCGTAGCCGAGAAGGCGGGGGCAGCGAGACGGCGACGGGCGCTGGCGCTGGCGCCGGTGCCGGCCCAGCCGCCGCGGCGGTCGGCGGCGACAGTAGCAGCAGCAGTGGCATTTCGTGTTCCCTTTTTGCCTTTTTTTCCCCTTTTCTTTTTTTAAAAAAACTTCGGTGACGGTCCTCTTTTATCATCGAGAGGGAGGGAGAGTGAACTGCCACCGTCCGTTCGATCCTTATCAAAACAGCATCGCGTCCTCTGCCTCCTCTTCCCCACGCCGCCGGCCGCGCCGCCGCTGCCGCCGTCGCCCCGCGCCCTTCTCCCTCATCCCCGCCGCTGTGAGGTGTCAACTCCGTCGCCGCCTCCCCTGTGGTAGCACGAGGGGAACCAGGGCTCACATGCTACTCGATCGGGGCGTAACTTTGGATAGCCATGGCGGCTATGCTTCTTCGCCTTCATCCCTGCCCTCTCCTCTTTCCGCCGCCGCCACCGCACCCACATCTCCGCCGCCAGCTGGCCGTCTATTCGATCCCGAAATCCTCCTTCCGATCCGCCGCCGCCGCGGCTCGAGCTAGAAACCCTCCGCGTCTGGCCTCCGTCGGTGGAGCCGAGCGACGGCGCGTGGGTGACGATTATGATGAAGAGGAAGAGGACTTGGGACAGGCTCTCGAGAGAACGCGGCAACTTGTCGAGTGCGCGATGTTCGCATCCGTCGCTGGCCTCGCGTACTTCCTCAGCAACTCCCTCGCCATCGAGGTCCGCTGCCTTCTGCCATTCTGTACCCAAATACAATAATAAGTATATTGGGGTGTATTATCCATTTTTTCCTTCTTGTACTGGAAATTTCTAAGCCTCCAAATTATTTATAATCTGTATAAGCTAATGTCTCTTTTTGTTTGATGCAGAATTACTTTAGCTGCTTTTTTCCATTGCCGATTGTTATCTCCTCCTTAAGATGGGGACTAGAAGCTGGCAGGAAAACTGCGGTAAATCCATTCAAATAGTTCACTTAGTCTCAGTATCTTCTGTTTTTGCTACATTCTGAATCACTGATACACTTACTGTTTGTGTTGTCTCACCAGGTGGCTACTGTTTTACTGCTATTCACATTGTCTGGCCCTGTAAAAGCATCAACTTATCTGGCAAGTACCTCTATTCTGCATTTTGATTCATGCGTCAGTGGGAGGCGATTCCATCTTTCTCTTCAAAGCTTCAAAAACCTATCAAACTGCATATTTATCTTGAAATTAACAGCTATTGATGTTACTATTAACATGGAGACTTTGTTGCCTTACAAGGTCAAAGTGGAAATTTCGATTCTGTCATTAAGACAGCGCTAGGGCAAAGAGTGGAATATATTTACACCTTGAAGTAGTTATGTATTGGAGGAAGTAAAAGAGTGATATATTTGATGCCCTGTGTTTAAGGATCAAACTAGTGGTGGAGCCAGGGGCATCGTCAAGCCTAGAATAGCGTTTTCCGGTGATCGACTAAATTTTATAGGTGTCAATGGCTATCAATAGAGGAGACGGCAGCGGTGGAGCCCGGGCAGCCACCTGACCTGCCTAGGAGGTGGCTCTGCCGCTGGATCAAACAATAGGGACAATAGAAAAAAGAACATTCTTTTTCAAGACGATACTTACTGTTTCCTGTTCTAACAAGGGGCACTCTCAACGGATCCTCGATGAACTGGCATGCCACAGTTCTTTTGTGTGTTATCATGGGCAAGCTTGAATCAATAATTCTTAGAAACGATTACCTATATCTTTGCTATGTCAAGGGCTAGTCATTCTTTCCCTGCGCTTGCATCGTACCAATTCATGGATTTACCCCTTCGCAGTAAAGCCTTCCTATACTTTGCTTGATGTGCCTGAGTCTACCTCATTTGCTCCTTGACAATACACCCTCTCACACTCTTAAGGCAACCATAGTAGTACTGGCATAGCTACATCAATACGCAGTTAAGCTTCAACTTAAAAGTTACCTGATTTAGCACCAGGTCTCCTACAGGCAAATGGCCAAATAATAGGCTGTCACAGTCAATCGTGTATGTGTCCAGCCACCTGACCTGCCTAGGAGGTGGCTCTGCCGCTGGATCAAACAATAGGGACAATAGAAAAAAGAACATTCTTTTTCAAGACGATACTTACTGTTTCCTGTTCTGACAAGGGGCACTCTCAACGGATCCTCGATGAACTGGCATGCCGCAGTTCTTTTGTGTGTTATCATGGGCAAGCTTGAATCAATAATTCTTAGAAACGATTACCTATATCTTTGCTATGTCAAGGGCTAGTCATTCTTTCCCTGCGCTTGCATCGTACCAATTCATGGATTTACCCCTTCGCAGTAAAGCCTTCCTATACTTTGCTTGATGTGCCTGAGTCTACCTCATTTGCTCCTTGACAATACACCCTCTCACACTCTTAAGGCGACCATAGTAGTACTGGCATGGCTACATCAATATGCAGTTAAGCTTCAACTTAAAAGTTACCTGATTTAGCACCAGGTCTCCTACAGGCAAATGGCCAAATAATAGGCTGTCACAGTCAATCGTGTATGTGTCATGTGGACTCCATTCAAACATATTGAAGTGTTGTATTCCTGGACTACAATCATATGATTGTCACTAAAGGAAAACAATGTTCCTAGTAGAGTTCACAGGCTGTGGTGATCAATGGTAGAGTTATCAGCCATCAACAAGGGACTTCGTAAAAAGAAGAAAAAGGGGAAATTTATAAACTAAATTTGTGTGTTATGTCAAAATATCAGCAAACAAACATCAGATAGAAGTACAAATCATGTTTGATGTATTTACGGTAGCTTAAAAAAGAGTTGAAAAGAAACCAATAAAGACAATATGTGCCTACAGCAGGGATTATGGAGATCAAAAGCTGTGGAAAAGTCGCAAAGATATTTACAGGTTTGGTACTGAAAAGGATATATGATTTTTCATAAAAGATTCATAACTTGCGTGCCTTTGTTGTTCTTAAATCATGGTAGAAGTCCTGTTTTAGTTGATGTACATATGTTTGACATTCTAGTGTCGATTTTAGACTCTAGATTTGACCTACGATAATTTGAACAAATCTAGGACTTTGGAGGTAGCTATTTAAATTATTAGGATGATGTCACACATTGCGAGAAGAGAAGAGTGTTGGTTGAAGTTAGCTCTGGGTTCAGCTGCACAGTTGTGCAGGAATTGAGACTGTCTACATTGCTACAGAATGTCAGCATGTCAAAATGGTTAACTCTGGGTGCAAGGTGAATCTGGCTTGTGAGGCTGCCAGCCTGGGCTTTAGATACACATAACTCCAAGGTGTACCGTAGTAAATAAAACAGTTGATGGTGATGGCTTATTTGTCACTACTCTCTATCACCCCCTCCAGCTGACAAGTGGTACCTTTGAAACTCCGGTGAAAAAACAACTGAGACACTGAGTGCTGGGATAACCAGCAACCTCATGCTACAACCTAACACTTGATAATCATGCAAAAAGTTGTAACATGTGTGCATATGCTTGTTCGAATCCATGTTTTTAGGCGTACTGTAATCCAAGTAACATGCTCTTTCTACTATGCATCCATAGCTATGTCATCACCAACAAGAGAGAACTAATGCCTGTACTCAATAAGAGTCACTCATATAGTTTATATAGGGTTGCTTATCATCTATGAGATCTCAAATATTTAAGTGACTATGCATTTTTTATGAAATTAGGCTTTTATTTGCATTCTTTAATCCATTACCTGACTGAACACATTCTCTCGTCCCTTGCACTTGTGTTTTCTGCAGCTCATGCATGGAGTAGTAGGTCTGGCCATGGGTACTATGTGGAGGTGAGGAATGCGAAGGTCAAAGATTGAGGCACTTTCTTTTATTATGGGCTCTTTTCACTAGAAATCTCAACTTATGTTTGTGTATATGACATACATGTATGCAACTGTTGCTTCACAACAATGACTCAATGTTACATTGCATTTAAGAATAATCATTTTTTTTTCTCCTCTATCCTCAGGTTGGAGACCAACTGGATTGTTTCCATCATACTCTGCTCAATTGTAAATTCTCTTTTCTAAACTGGTATTTCCTTCTCTTTAGATGTTTTATTGACCCAATATGTGGAATCTATCATCCATCTCATATGCTTTGGATATGTACTTGACAACTCAAGATAAACGTATTAAAAGATTGGGATAATTACTTATTCGACCTTATTTTGAAGCCTAACTACCAAATTGACCATACATTTTCAGGTTTGCTCATTTGACCTCGTTTTTCAAAATCGAAGCCACCGTCTGACCTTGTTTTCACTAGTCCGTTAGGTGGTTAGGGTTTCCATTAGAAAAAGAAAAAAATAGATTTACTTGCATGAACTGACCAAAATACCCCTGATTATATAAATAACCTCATCCGAATCTTATTGGCTGGCCGGCGCGTGGAGGGACCAGGAGCGGGCCAGCAGCGGCGCTGACGAGCGAAGAGAGGGACGACGGTCGGCGCCAGCGCATGGAGGAGCAGCGGCGGCGGCTGCTGCCACGCGGAGAGAGGAAGGGGCAGCACCGGCGCGCAGATGGGCGGCGGCGCCGGTGCGCGGAGGAGTAGCGCGCCAGCTGTTGCCGCAAGGAGGGAGGGAGGGGCAGCTCCAGCGCGTGGTGGTAGGAGGAGCGGTGGGGCCGGCGCCTGCTGTTGCCACACGGAGGGAGGGATGGGCGGCTCCACGCACGGAGGGCTGGTGGCACTGGCTGCTGCCGCGCGGAGGAAGGGAGGGAGGGCCAGCTCTGGCGCTCGGAAGGAGGAGCGGCGACGCCGACGCGCGGAGGGAGGAGGAGCAGCGGCGCCAGCGCGTGTAGGGGCGGTGGTGGCGGTGCGTGGATGAGCAGCGGATGGTGCGGCGCGGATGGGGAAACGCGCAGGCCAGCGCTTGCCGTGTGGATGGAGCGCACAGCCGTGTGGACGGAGGCGTGCAGTCCTTGCCTGGCTCGGTCGGAGGCGCGCAGAGGGGTGGATCCTAAGTGAGGCGCTCGTGCGGCCCACATCCTTGCTCGTTCTCTCACTCTACCCACACCTCCTCTTTATACCTTGTTCTACTAGATCTGGAAGCTGCTTTGCTCTTGTTTTGCTGATCTAATTTAATAACCTCTCTTGTTTTACATGTACTAATTTCAAACTTTTTTTTTTTTGCTTTGGGGTGGACACAAATTTGAGCTTCGTGATTTGCTTTGGGTAATTGTTGGACGTGAAATAACATATATGCTTTTTTTCTTCAGCGTGCAATTTTATGGATAATATATTTCCAAAGTTAAAATTCAGTCATATTTCCTTAAGTCTATCAAATCTAACTCAAATTCACACACAATTTGTCAATTCCAAGTCAAATTTGTCAAAACTTTCATCACATACAACGAGTACACAAAACTGAACCAAATAAATAAAAACTCAGAGAGTATACTCAAAATGAGCAAGGATATAAACGGTATTTGGCCCCTAAGTTAACACCGTTAGGTTGGCTTGATAGAATAGGGTCATAGCTAATGTTCATTTTTGAAAAGCGGGGTCAAATAAGCGAAGTTTAGAAAATAGGGTCAAATTGCTAGTTATTTTTACTTTTACTTCCTCTGTCCCAGAAAAAGTGACCGCTTTACTACTTATGGCCAAATTATGAGGGGGAGGTAAATGACCTAGATGGCCCCTATTAAATGAGTGTTGTTTGGGAGTGAGAGGGTAGTTGGGGATAAGATTGTAAGAAATTTGAATTAGAAGTAGTTGATGAGACTAGTACTACTCTAAAGTGGTCACTTATTTTGGGACAAATTTTGAATCCAAAGTGGTCACTTATTTTGGGATGGAGGGAGTACTTAATTTAATTTTAGTCTATACATTTACGCTAAATCAAACTGTCTAGATAAAAAGCTTTGTTATATAAATGCACATCTTGTTCTATATTTCACACCTCCAATATATCTTTCTGAAGAGCTTTCCTCTTTTGGCACAGTTAACAGATAGTATCTTGGTGCTAGTTCTTCGCACAAAATTACTGGGCAAATTCCTACTGGCAACAGAAAATCTTGTGTTATTTTTAGTTCCAGGGAATGAATTTGCATATTGAATTTACCATCTGTCCTGAAGCAGCACATCGCTGTTTTTTTAATGCGTATCTAATTTGACAAAGAGAAAATTTGCAAGTGTAAGAACAGAGAGAACAGATAAGAGCTGCTGTGACAACAGCTCGTGTTTGTGGAGGAAGGGGATAATCCAAGGTCCAAATAATATCAGGATCCAGGATCATTAAGTAGAAATAAACATACATGTAGTTTTGGTTGACAGTGGCACTATATCCAATTCTGGATGGGAATTTTCCTAGTGATATACCACCTCTGTCCCAAGTATTTGTCCAGTTACACAGCCAGGATCCCTAATATTTTGGGAGGGAGGTAGTATTCAGCTGACATGACCTATGCCTTTGTTATTCTTTTACTGTGTGGATAGAATTTAATCTAAGCTGTCAATTTTTTATTAGAATTTAATCTAAGCTGTCAATTTTGTTATGCAGACCCGGGCTCTAGGGGCTTGTGGATACGTTTTATTGTCGTCATTTCTGATAAGAGAGAATATTCTTGGATTGGTATCTTCACTTATCTATTCAACATTAAGATTGACGGAAAGATAATATTTGTGTTCAGTAACTTTTGCTCAATTTCAGATAACAGTCAATATACATGCTTCCCTGACATACATTCTGGCGGCAGCTGGGGTGAACACGATTCCTTCCATGGATGCAATTTATGTACTCTTTGGAACGCTGGTAATGTTATGACAAATTGTGCTTATTAAGCGAGCCATTTTTTTTCTTGTTGTAACTTTGTTTTCTGTTGCAGCTTCTACTCAACTGTGGATTCTTTATCTTCCTACTACATATAATGTATACAATATTCCTGACTAAGCTCGGAATAAAGCCTTCATTGAGACCTCCAAGATGGCTGGACAAAGCAATTTGAGTTTACAGGTAGAGTGGCAACTTACTCCTTTGTACCTTGTGCGCTGACTGAAACCGGAGCATTCAGTGTCACAATGCTTCCTAATGTAGATTCCGCAGAGTGTCAGCGCTGAATTCGTCCCCTGCAAAATGATAATTAGTGTCCTTTTTCTTTGGCCATGGTACATCCTAGATCTGTAGGTCTTCTTTTCTAACGAAGATCAAGCTAAAAGTTAGGATACGTAAAGCAAGAAAGATCACTGTTACTACATGATTAATTGAGTTTAATTTTTACGAACTTGAAAAATAGATTTGTTTGATATTTTAAAGCAAAATATATATAGAATGTTGTACGAAACACACCGTTTAGTACAGTAAAACGCGAGCTAAGAAAAACAAGTAAAATGTGTCTTAATCAGTAAAGAACACCATGCATGTCATTGAGTTACAGCAAAGACGCAAAGGGAAGGGATTGTAGTGATAACGTGAGAGGAGATCCGTATATACATTGTGCACGTCCCAGGCCGGAGGCAACTCTGGTTAACTGGTTCCACTGGTTCCATGAAAGGGAAGAAGTATATGGCGATATGGAGGCCGAATGGGTCAATCTCTGGTCTCGCCAATCGAACTCGAATGTCCTAATGGCGGATTAGCGGTAACCGGGTTTCACATTTTCGATTGATATTCGAACGAAATATCGAAATCTCGAACCACCCCCAGAACGCTCGGTTTGTATCGAATTTTGTTTTAGATTTGTCAAAATTCTTGAGATATCTTGAAATTTGTTATCTTGTTGAGGTTAACGTGAAAACAAGCAAGACAAAATAACGGTTTTTATTTTACCATTTGTGCATTTCTATGTAATGTAATACTCCATCCCCTTCAAAATATAGTAACTTATAGTATTAAAATTTTAGTTTAAATATAGCAACTTTTTTCATACTTACTTCAACCATTAAAAAAATGTTTATCTAGTTTCTCTATCTACTTTTCCATCTCAACTAATCTCAATAATCCGTCACTTATTTATTTTTCTGATTATATGACACAAACACGTACACGAACCCACTACACATGCGATACCGCATGCACATAACTACGAATACGTCCCCTAACATATGTTTAGAGACAAAACCAGGGCCTGTTCTCGTAAGTTTCTCTTGAAAGCACACTCAAAGAGACGGAAATCGTCGATACATTTATGATCTCACTAAATTTATGTTAAAGGCCCAATTATGTGAATATATATTCATGATAGTTAGGATTGTACCCTAATTGATGGAGTCATAGACCCACGACTCCATAATCACATCACTGTTTCTTCTCTAATCTTCTATTCAATTTTACATTTCTTCCTAATTTTTGTGAAAAAAAACTCCAGTACTTTTTGAACGTACGGGAATAGTATTCTTGAACAATTTTTCCAAGTACAAATCACAGTTTGAGTTGTCCAGATTTTTTTCTTCCCTCCAATTTTCTTTGCCTGAAATTGCCTGGTACGAGCATCTTTAAACAAACGGTAGAGCAATGCAGGAATCAGCCAAAGAGGATACCTCGGGCACTTAAATCTACAACAAACCCGAAGAATCAAGATTGGGATATCCTGCATCCTGACTGATCACCTTTGGAGTAGTATTATACTCGCTCCGTCAAAAAAAAAAAGATAAACCTTGGTTTTCGTGTCCAATGTTTGACCGTCCGTTTTATTTAAAAAAATTATAAAAAAATTAAAAAGATAAGTCACGCATAAAGTATTAATCATGTTTTATCATCTAACAACAATGAAAATACTAATTATAAAAAAAAATCATATAAAATGGACAGTTAAACTTTGGCACGGAGGTTTGCTTTTTTTTTTTTCGGAGGGAGTGTATTGATACTTTAACTCATCCGAATCCTTTGTTTTGGTCATCATATAAAGTGACCCAAATCTACATGCTAAAACCTTGGCTCTTGGCCCCCACGAAGGGCCAACGGACATCGCTCCAGAGTTCAGACTGATAAACAGAGCAGTATTGCACCCGTCCATAAACACAGGAGATTCTATCATGTCATTTAGGGGGTGTTTATATCCACGAGTGTAAAGTTTTAGCGTCTCACATCAGATATTATATAGGGCGTCGCATGAGGTGTTCGGGCACTAATATAAAAAACTAATTACAGAATCAGTCAGTAAACTGCGAGACGAATTTATTAATACTAATTAATCCATCATTAGCAAATGTTTACTGTAGCACCATATTATCAAATCATGTCGTAATTAGGCTTAAAATATTTATCTCGTAAATTAGTCGTAATCTGTGTAATTAGTTATTTTTTAGTTTATATTTAATACTTTATGCAGGTGTTCAAACGTTCGATGTAACAGGGTGTAAAATTTTTTTTAGGGATCTAAACCGGCCCTTAGCAAAATTTAAGAATTTTAGGTTGTTTAGCAACGTGGGTGCGTTCGTTTCTCGCTTCTCTCATCCTCTACCTTTCGTATTTTTTAAGTAAGCTTTCCAAAATAGTACCTCCTTCAATAATTAATTTTTTTATATTTTAGGATAAATTCTGAGGGCTAAAAGTTGTTAGAACTACTATTTATTCTGAGCGCCAAACATACATTAGCCTAGGCCCACCTCACCCCATGTCCCGTCATCCCACTCCTACCGTTGTCGGAGTAAAGATCTACTCATATCGCGCGCCTCTACCACCCACCTTTCTTCGAGTAAACGATTTACTTCGATAATAAAAACAACTTCCGTGCTTCCGATCCCACCCCATGTTCCGCATCGTGCTCCTACCATTATCGGAGTAAATGATTTACTTCGATAAAAATAACTTCTCTACTTCCGGTGTATATTCTATTTTTCCTATACCCAACCAACCACTCTCGCCCCCACTGCATTTTTTTTTCCTTTTTTTTCGGATCTGAATCAATCCACCATCCCAGCCCACGGATCGGCGACACACCATGGAGGAGGACGATGACACCGTGTCGGTTGATGGCGGTGGCCGGCGGCGGTTGAGGCGATGGCACTGCTTTAGCCCTCGCTGCTAGACGCTGGGCAGCACCTTAACCAGCAAGGAGGTGTTCATCTGGGCCAATAGCAACAACCAACGGCTGCTCCACATTGGCGACATTGATAGAACAAGCAAGTAAGGAAATGATACTATGATTTGCATCTGCATATTTTCCTTCAACTTCACGCATGAAGCCCTAATTTTTTTTGCAAATCAAATTAACGTGCAATCTCAAATATTACCTGATCTTAATTGATGGGCTGCACAGGTCCTACATTTGCACATCGTGCTCCATGTGGCTGGCCACAGAGGATAGAGTGGAATCCGCCGGTGATGGAGGATGTTTGCTATTTTTCTTTTGCTCGTTATCTCTATTGACATGAACGAGAATGTTTTTGCATTTTTTTTTGCTTGCTAGATGATGGATGGCTGCTAATGCGCAGCGTCGAGCTCATCTCTAGACCACACCGCTACATCCTTCCATGATTCCATCGTCGACTACTGCTCGCCACCTGGTTGCCCTCTCCACTACCAGTCACAAGACACAGACCTCTCTCTTCATCCTTATAGCAAGATCCAGCAAGCCACCAGAAAGATTTTTGACTGAACCATTTTTTTTCTTTTCTAGTTTGATTCACCTGTGAGTAATTTTATCGCTTGTGTGATTGAGCCTGCAATTTTTTCATTCATACGGCTATTTTGTGAGACAGATCAACAATACTCTTAGTACCAGTTTTTACTATTATACTGTATATTGAACACATTAGTAAACATATTACTACACGGTGGCTACGAGATCATGGCTATATCGAGAGGAAGGTGGTAATTGTTTTACTCGCAGACCACGAAATCTCAATTTATACTCTTATACTGTGTATTGAACACATCAGTAAACATATTACTACACGATGGCTACGAGATCATGGGCTATATCGAGAGGAAGGTAGTAATTGTTTTACTCACAGACCACGAAATATAAACAATATTTATAATATTGGTAAAAGAATTATTAGCGTTATAAGCTGGTAGTAATTCTTTTACGATCATTTAGGTATAGCGTCATCCGATGTGGAGGCATTCATGCGAGTAAATTTATTACTTTTGAATGAGCAGATGTGGAAGGCTGGGAGTAAATGAAAAACTCCACAGAGTAAATTCGTTACTTTTGAAATGGGCGGAGATACTAGAGAAACGGAAAACTCGGAAAGAAAAACTAGACGGTAAATAGTTTACTAAAACACGAAAACATAAAAACTACATAAAAAGAACGAAAACAGAAAAATATGGATCGTTAATATTTTACTGGGCCTATCGATAAAGCATGAATGAGATGGAAAGAGAAAAGAGAAACACGGAAGGTGGGGTGGTAAAAAAACAAAAAAAACGAACCGAGAAAAGGTGGGATACGGAGAAAAGGTGGGGTGGTAAAAAAATAGGAAAACCAGAAGGAGAGTGCGTTGTGCGACGCTCGAACTAATATTCTGCGCTGTAGCGCACGGATTAGTGCTACCGAAAAGTTGTTATATTTTGAAATGGAGGGAGTTTTTTTTTGGTTTTTTAGATTATAAGAAAAAGAACAATGAAGAACATAAAGTCTCTTACCGATATATCTTAAGTGGATTTGAGGAGTGGGGAGAGAGGAGCAAGCGCAGCGCTCGGGCTCGGGGAGGGATGGAGCTGTGGGTGGGTGGGTGGGTTTTGGGGGGGGGGGTTCATTTGCACGCTCCCCCTGCCACATTGTGTCATGGTGATAGGGGTACGACGCCAAGGATGCTGGTGTAAGTTCCGTTAGACCACGACACTAGCAACTCTGGTATCTCAAAAGGATTATTTCTCGGATAAGTTTTTTAAAAGGATCAAATTATAAAAAAATTAGAAAAACAATTGATATGATATGATTTAATGAGAGAAGAGAAAAATAATATAAACTAAGTGAGGGTAAGGTATACCCTCTACCCTTCGATATACGTCACATATCGATATGGTATACTTGCGCATATACGGACGTCTTCGGTACACGTTAAGGAAATTCGCCATGGAGTTCACAGATGGAAGGAGTCCTACTCGGACAAGACTGGGTCGTCATTGTATCGTGCCGAGTCCGATGTCTTCGAGTCCTACTTGGAGACCAGTTGACCTGCGATATAAAAGGGACCCCCCGGGAGGACCTAAGGCATCGAATCTCATAGCCAACACATCCACCACAACCTACGGAGTTGAAGCCTACAGGAGCCAAGTCGCCGGGAGATCTAATCGGACCTTCTCGATTACGATCTCGGCGGTATCATTGAGTTCCGCTTTCCCTTTGTAATCTGTGGTTTCCATCATATAATCCCATATCAACTGGAGTAGGGCTATTACCTATCAAGGGGCCTGAACTAGTATAATCTTTGTTTTCTGCCTGCTGGATGTCGTATTACGTAGATCCTCGTACCAGCGTACCCCAATACCCTCTATATCTGGTCTACGGGTATCCCCCGTCGACAGTGGCGTGCCAGGTAGGGGGACTTGGTGCTCAAGGTTCTACTACTATGTCATCCAGCTTCGTCGACAACAACGTCAACACCAACCTCAACCTAGGAGTTCCCACTTCAACAATGCTGGTGTGGACTCAAGTCGGCGAAATCGTCTTCCCGGTTTACATCACGGTGCCGCTCTCGGCCGGTCCATCAATGACCGGAAGCGAGAACGCAGTGGCTACAACCCAGGACGACTCCATGTCGAAGGATCCTCCGGCCGAAGCGGAGAACGGAACGTCGACGACATCCGAGCCCGAGAAGGATCCTAGTGCGGCCAAACCTTGTCTTTCCGACAAGAATCACGAGCCGACGAGGATGACTTCTGAGGTGACAAGGTCCTGGTGTCCTATCCACAAAACTAGAAAACACACCTTGCAAGCCTGCTGGGTTTTTCTCAACGTCCACGCTGAAATTCGTGCCTGCAAAGAGCGTGGAATCCAGCGTACTTCTCAACCCGTGTTGTCTATTTTCCTATTCACAAGACAAAGAATCACGACCTCTCAAGCTGCAAGGTCTTTCTCAGCGCCATGAAGACGTCACCTCGTAAGGTCCCGCAGTCACGCATCCCCCTCAGGGATGAGGACAAGGAACAAGGAGCGACACTGATTTCAGATCGATTTGTTGGGGGTAATCGACATCGATCCCCACGAACCATCAGTCTTGCACCTGCTCGAAAACTATGGCTCATCGTCAACGAGTACGCCGCGCGAGGTATTGGCCATCGACGAGACTGGCACGTCAGCGCGCGCCAATGCGGAAGCGGAGAATTAAGTGACTACACCGGCCCAGCACATCAGGGCCGTCAACGCAATACTAAGGGAAATCCCCTACGATCCCGTTCTGAACGACGATCTCGCACGATGGACAGAACGGTTACGGGAATCAGTGACCAACCACAGCAACGCGTTCGAAGAGGCCGCTGCTGCAGCGCACCCAGAACAGCCACCAACTGGCGATGCTAATGGTGAAAACCCTAAACAGCAGGAATCGCCTCATCGAGCCACCCCTCCACCTCGCGGCACCGGCGATCTCCGCGATCACCTGAATGGCCGCCGAGAGGCGCGATGCGCACGAGACAACAAGAACCGTTCCCGACATCGCGTCTCTTCACGGCGTCACGATAACGAAGAACGAGGAGGCCGTTCGAGCGAAGACCGAGACCGTGATAATTGCCACAATCGCCACGATCATGACGATCACGAACGGCGGGTGCTGGGCGATACTGGTCGAGGCTATCGCCATAATGACGACGGCGATGGGAATCGGCGCCGGGACAACAACGGGAGACGACGACAGGATTCTCGAGAACCCGGCCAACGTCCTCGTAATCGTACACCGGAACCAAGTGACCCATCGTCATCGTCGTTGTCTTCCTCATCCTCATCATCAGATAGACATCCACGAAGGACGTACGATCGCCGACAACCCACCGCCCCCAGCGCTGGGTGTAGAGCTTTCGGTCGTTCGCTGCGTGATGTCCAATGGCCTGAGAGATTCCGACCAGGAGCAATAGAGAAGTACGATGGGAGTATCGACCCAGAAGAATTCCTCCAGGTTTACTCCACGGTACTCTACGCTGCCGGAGCGGACGACAACGCATTGGCGAATTACTTGCCAACTGCATTGAAGGGCTCTGCGCGTTCATGGCTGATGCATCTCCCCCATACTCGATTTCTTCGTGGGCAGACTTGTGGTAGCAGTTTGTCGCCAACTTCCAAGGAACTTACAAGCGCCACGCGATCGAAGACGACCTACATGCGTTGACACAGAACCCGGGTGAATCCTTGAGGGATTATGTTCGGCGCTTTAATGAGTGCAGAAATAGAATCCCTGAAATCACCGACGCTTCTGTAATCCGCGCCTTCAAGTCCGGTGTCAGAGATCGATATACTACCCATGAGTTGTCAACGAGACGCGTCACGACTACTCGGAGATTATTCGAAATTGTCGATCGATGCGCCCATGCGAACGACGCACTGAGACGCAAGAACGACAAACCGAAGACCGGAGGAGAGAAGAAATCAGCCAAGGACGCACCGGAGTCAAGCAAGAAGAAAAATCGTAAAAGTAGGAAAAGGAAAGCTCAAGCGGAAGTTCTCGCAACAGAATACGCGGACCCTCCCAAGCGCCCAGACCCACAAGGCAGTGACACGAAGAAAACATGGTGCCCTATACACAAGTCGGACAGACACTCTCTAGAAGATTGCCTTGTTTTCAAAAAGTCGCTCGCAAAACACATGGCATTGGAAAAAGGCAAGCGAGTATGCGTGGTCGAGAAGGACGCTGAGGCGGCTACTCAGGAATCGGACTCAGCATACCCAGACTCCGATCTCCATGTCTCGCACATCTTCGGAGGTTCCACGGCATACTCCTCAAAGCGAGAATACAAGAAAGTGGAACGCGAAGTCTGTTCGACGTGGCAGGGAGCTGCGCCCAAGATGAAGTGGTCTGAACAGAAGATAGAATTCTCTGAAGAGGACCACCCCATGTAACGCCCCGATTTTCGTTCGGGATTAAAAATCAATTAATAATGCATTTCTAGAAATTATATTAAAAGTTAAATCAATTTAATCAAGTGAAATTATAGAGGAAATTAAAATTTCCTTTAAAAAAATCTTTGGCCGGGAATATTTTGTAATATTCTTTGTGCCCTAATGTACTCTCCGGAATTTTCCGTGAATTTTCGGAGCTCGAGAAATAGTTTTAATAGCACAAAGATCATTGCATCAATTAAAATAAAAAGAAAAAAAAATCCTCCTTCCTCTCTTTGGGCCCCTTTCGGCCCAATCCCTCCTTTCTCTCCCGCGGCCCGCGCGCCCCTTATCTCTCCCTCTCGGGCCGGCCTCCTCCCTCGGCCCGCTCGGCTCTCTCTCTCCCTCAAGTCTGCTTTACCTCCCTCGCCCGTTTTCCCCTCTTTCTCCCCGACAGGTGGGACCTGAGGCCCCATCTGTCATCTTCTTCTCCTACCTCCAGCTCCATCCCCAACCGCCGCCATGGCCGCCAAATCCTCCCACGTCGCCGCCTCTCCCGCGCGACTCCCTCTCCCGCGCGTGCGTGGACGCGGTCGTCGCCCACGTCCGCACCGTTTCCCCCCCCACTCTCCCCGCAAAATCCGGCCACGTCGCCGCCTCCCGCATCTCTCTCTCCTCCCACGTTGCCGGCCGGTTTCTACCTCTCTTGGGCTCGATCCCGCCTCCCCTCCCCTATAAAAACATTCCCCACACCT